CATGTAGGATGAGAGTCCCGCCCTGAACACATGTACATGCTGACATTCACCCACAGTCATAGCGCCACCTGCTGGCAACAGGAAGTGACTTTTAACGAAGCAGCCCCCGCCGCACGTTTCACCTACGTGCACGAATTTTCTGTGGTACGTGTATCTTGTCCAGACGCACAAAAAAGCCTCTTGGAGCATGCCTAAATCAACAGGAAGTCGGCCATTTTGAATTTTACGTCAAATTTTGGATGATTTACACACTTCGTACTTTAACGAACTCCTCCTAGGGATTTAGTCCGACCGACTTCAAATTTGTGCTGTGCCTTCTAAAGGCATTGAAGATGAAAAGTTGTGCTATTTGCGAGTTTTCGTCAATGGGTGTGTCCGTGGCGTGGCGTCAGAGATCAAGTCTTCGCCATGACACAGGAAGTTGTTGTAACTTCAGTGTACATGCTCACATCTAACCAAACTTTACGTGCTTGATAACTCTCCCACCCCGTATGGAGGACCGATCCTGACACAGTCAGAAATAAATACAGAAATAAATAAATGCTCAATAAATAAATAAGCATCCAATTAAATACACAAAAAAATAAAGTAAATAAATAAATGTAGGTAGTAATTAAATTATACAAGGAGACATAAATGTTATATTTTAATTAGTGCCTTTACTTATTCACCTTTGTTATAATTACCTTATTTGTTTATTCAACTTTATTTATTACTAATTTTTTTAATGTATTTATTTATGTGTGGTTTTAATATTTTTGTCTGTTTTATTCTTCCTTTGTATTTATTTACCTTATTTATTTTCACCCATGGTATTTATTTCTGCCTGTCTTTTTAAATTTTTGTATGCATTTCTGCCTCATTATGCAAATGAGGAGGGGCTGTGTCTCAAGGGGTCATCTTCTCTGCTATTGGTGGACCAGTCAGACAGGAGAGCTCCTACTCTGCCTGCAGACATCAACGATCTTGCCCCTCACACAGTCAGATGGCTTCCTTCAGTGCGCTGAGGTGTTTAACAACTCTGAAGACAATACTACCAGCAATGTCTTCCTTCTCTTTTCACGTAGACGCTCCGACAGACAGTGCTTTCAGTTTGCTGCATGCATGGACACAGAACTGCGGTATAGGGAGAAGCACACGGTCAGCTGGCTGCAGCTAAATCTGGAGTGCACTCGTATTCAATTCTGTATGGTAAATTCAGTTTTAACGGAGCAGAGCGAGCTGACAGGCAGAGTTAGAGACTTTTTCTGTCGTTTCTCTCTTTACAAAGACGCATGTTGCAGTCAGAGTCTTCTCTGAGATGCGAGCACGACATACAACACAATTTATCAAATTACACAACGGATATACAGTATGAAAATAAGATTGATTGGATTATACTCACAGGAAGTATAAAACCTGTTACATGGGTCTATTAAAAGTAAAGTAACACAAAAATGTCAGGGAAATTACTTTACTTAGATTTAAGTATTGCAGTTGTACATTTGAAATACCTTCCTACCTTTCTGATAGGAAGCCTTCTTGAGGTGGTATAAAACATTTCTTCTTATATTCTGATTTGAGTTGTGGACAACTATGACCACATGAATTAAAAAATTAAACATTTCACTGCCCAAGTAAGCTATAACACAAGTCTTGTTCATTAGACTACATGCTGTACAGTATTTGTACAGATTTTGTCCCAGGATTTATTATGCATTTCTTCTTCTTCGTTGCATGATTTAGAATAATAAGGTGAGAAATGGGTCTGTTCTGAGTTCATCCTGTACTGCAGCAGCTAATAAAGTCCATTTAATCCCATAAACGCTTTTCTTTTAGGCAGGCTGGAGCAGAAAACAACTCACCTTTCTCAAGTTGTACAGTAATGTCACATGTGTATGAAGGTGGATCAAACAAGCTAATCTTAAATGTCAAAGTAGAGAGGAGCCTAGTAGGCCTATTTATTTTCATTCATTACACAATATGAATAAGCTATGCAGACAGTTGTAAAGAAAGAACATCTTTTTCTTCTGTTCTCTACTTGTTATAGTTACACAGTATTAGGGGTGTGGGCTGTATTAAAAGTATCCACTGTTCTCCCATGCTCTAACACACAGTAACGATGAAATGTGCGCTGTTCTCACATTCTTCCTCTGTATGTACACATAAACAACAAGGCAGGGAAATACAAAAGGAATTTATTTTATTGTTCAGTGTACATGCTCACATCTGAAACAAACTTTACGTGCTTGATAACTCTCCCACCCCGCAGACATCTACACGCCAATACCGATTTATATTCATAGTGGCAAGTGCTATGTAACTCCACATAGGGGACACAGGAAGAGACATATAGCACCTTCATGCGGCGTCGGAACCGCGTAAGAACTTCACAGCCGCACCGGCAGAGCTCCAGAATGTGCAACTCGGCCGGCTCAGACGCGGACGCGCTACAAGTGCGAGGGCCCGCCCAACGCTGCTTGCAGCTTTAATTTATTACTAATTTTTTAAATGTATTTATTTATGTGTGTGTTTTAATATTTTTGTCTGTTTTATTCTTCCTTTGTATTTATTTACCTTATTTATTTTCACCCATGGTATTTATTTCTGCCTGTCTTTTTTAAATTTTTGTATGCATTTCTGCCTCATTATGCAAATGAGGAGGGGCTGTGTCTCAAGGGGTCATCTTCTCTGCTATTGGTGGACCAGTCAGACAGGAGAGCTCCTACTCTGCCTGCAGACATCAACGATCTTGCCCCTCACACAGTCAGATGGCTTCCTTCAGTGCGCTGAGGTGTTTAACAACTCTGAAGACAATACTACCAGCAATGTCTTCCTTCTCTTTTCACGTAGACGCTCCGACAGACAGTGCTTTCAGTTTGCTGCATGCATGGACACAGAACTGCGGTATAGGGAGAAGCACACGGTCAGCTGGCTACAGCTAAATCTGGAGTGCACTCGTATTCAATTCTGTATGGTTAATTCGGTTTTAACGGAGCAGAGCGAGCTGACAGGCAGAGTTAGAGACTTTTTCTGTCTGTTGAGTCTTCTCTGAAGAGGGCAATGAAGTCTCAGTAGTACCCGATGCGAGCACCACATACAACACAATTTATCAAATTACACAACGGATATACAGTATGAAAATAAGATTGATTGGATTATACTCACAGGAAGTATAAAACCTGTTACATGCGTAACACAGTAATGTCAGGGTAATGACTTTACTTAGATTTAAGTACTGCAGTTGTACATTTGAAATACTTTCCTACCTTTCTGATAGGAAGCCTTCTTGAGGTGGTATAAAACATTTCTTCTTATATTCTGATTTGAGTTGTGGACAACTATGACCACATGAATTAAAAAAATTAAACATTTCACTGCCCAAGTCAGCTATAACACAAGTCTTGTTCATTAGACTACATGCTGTACAGTATTTGTGGACAGATTTTGTCCCAGGATTTATTATGCATTTCTTCTTCTTCGTTGCATGGTTTAGAATAATAAGGTGAGAAATGGGTCTATTCTGAGTTCATCCTGCACTGCAGCAGCTAAAAAAGTCCATTTAATCCCAAAAACGCTTTTCTTTTAGGCAGGCTGGAGCAGAAACACAGTAACGATGAAATGTGTGCTGTTCTCACATTCTTCCTCTGTATGTACACATAAACAACAAGGCAGGGAAATATAAAAGGAATTTATTTTATTGTTTGGGTACATTATTGTTCAGTGTACATAATCACATCTGAAACAAACTTTACGTGCTTGATAACTCTCCCACCCCGCAGACATCTACACGCCAATACCGATTTATATTCATAGCGGCAAGTGCTATGTAGCTCCACATAGGGGACACAGGAAGTGACATATAACACCTTCATGCGGCGTCGGAACCGCATTGCAAATTCACAGCCGCACCGGCAGAGCTCCAGAATATGCAACTCGGCCGGTTCACACGCGGACGCACTTACAAGTGCGAGGGCCCGCCCAACGCTGCTTGCAGCTTTAATTTTCATTCTTTTCTCTAGTAGTCTGAGGGACCAAACATTGAGCTTTTCTCTGACAACTGCTTCCTTGGGTCTGAAAATAACGTTCACCAGTAATTGATTATAAAATAAAAATTGGCCTATTGTTTTACACGTTTCGATCAAAGATTATTAATTAAATCCATTGCTTTCCCCCACCTCTCTAAAATTGGTGTTTGGATGTATGCCTAATAAAAAACATAGTATTTTTGTCATCCCTTTGTTTGATAAAACAAGGGGCCTAAATATAGTTTTTGATCATTCATCTGTATAGTTTTTGATAATTCATCTGCCATCTGCCATTTCTTGGAGATGTCAACAAGTTATTTTTTTATCATGTGCAACTTGAGTTTTGGCTTGACAGCAACCCAGTAGGCTACTGCCCCCTATGAGTAGGCTTAACAGTTTCTGAATTAATTATCCACCCAAATAAATACTACTATTAGCCTACTACAGCCAATAATCATAGCACAACATAATATTAAGTACAGAGTATACACTGTGTTTGGAAAACCTAATAACAAATTCCAAATGACACATTTTCCCCAAAGTGATGGTACTACAAAGATAAAACAGGGCTACATCTTAAAAAATAGGCCTACTGATTATACAATAATTTTGAAAATAAAAACACACACTTTTAAAGAAAAGGTTGATTTGATTTTTTTACTTGAAAGACACAACAAAACACAATGCTGGTGGTTTGTTGGACTAGAAGCTGCGTCTTCAGCCAACTGTGGCCTTTATTGACATCTTGTGGCCATTGTCTGCCATTACAACGGTACGAGACGAAACAGGTGTAACAGCAAAATCTGTGACCCATCAGATTATGTGACCCAAATGGGAAGTAAAAATCAGGGCTTTGTATCTAATGGGTCACAGATTGTGGTGTCACACCGGTATCTAAACTCTTCCGCATTCAGCTCTATATTTAGTCGGCGTAATAACACACTGAAAGATTTTTTTTCATCACTAATGCGCTATTTTGTTTCATTTAGTTACTTATCAGTTAGGCTACTCTGGGCTGTAACTTCACCTCTCAAATAAAATGCATTGTTGTTCCAACAAAACAACAGCGTAAAGACAGTTAAGAGTTCAGAAATACGTCGCCTACAAAAGGTAGGGCCTATTAGTTTAACAATTAAATACGTTTACATTACGTTTAAATATATAAACGTAAAGCTTATTAAATATAGGCCTATATTTTTGTCAGCTCTGTCAACAGCGATCAGATGATAGTGTAACAGTTATAAGACAGGAAGTCCAGAGATTATATTAATGCAACAGCCTATTAATATCTCTAATTATGCTTCGATTCAAAATGTATTCTTTCCTGTTTAATTGTGGCTTCCTGTGGAGAGCATGACGCAACTCCTTGTGCGCTTGCTGTGGGTAAAGTGTGCACCGGAGACGAACTGTCGCAACAGTAGACGTTGCTAAGAAAACGAAAGCACAGCCTACATTAAATGCTCACGAGGAGACTTCACTTGGTAGGGGTGTAGTTAAGCCTATCTATTTGACAAGGTCGAGCTCATCGCGTGTGGTGCTAAGTGCTGACAGCCGGTTGTACAATAAATGTTTTCATAGTTGCTCTATGTAAGGGAACACACAAATATTCTGATCCACACGAGTGAGAAACTGCAAGACACCGAGGAGACCTACTACAGGTGAGAATGAAATGTGTACGCATCTGCTTCACAGAAATATGTTTTTTTCCTGCCTTGTTTCTGTGGTTTTTAATGGTTTAGTTCTATTATGACTTTATTGTACTTTTATATCTCAGCAGATTTTTACAATACAAATACAAGCACTTTCAGTTTTGTATTTGCATTTGAATGTGAAGTGATAAAGCCAAGGTTGTTAAATAACTATAGCTTTTCGGGTTCACAGCATCTTTTCAATCATTATGGCTCCACATCCCCTAATCCAGCCAATTATTGACTTCTCAGCTGGAGCAATAGGTGAGTTTCCCTTAATTAATCAGCCATATCTATCTATCTATTTATCTATCTATCTATCTAACTATCTACTGCAGTAACAAGTTCTATACATTAATTTGAGTGTTTCATCTCTGATTTTCTTTCATGGAATTGTTGTTAAAGTGATACACATTTATATCCTGTTGTGTAAGATAACCACTGAAATACACACCATTGAGATTGTTCCTTGATAAATTGTTTAATAGGACCCATACAGCTCTACAGACAATTTTGGCTTTGGCCAGGAAGAAGTTATGGGGTCTGCAGCATTAGTTTGTATAGTGTTCAGTTGTGTATCTACAAGGTCATATCCAAAAACAAAACTCTTGTCTGGCTGTATTTCTAAAGGCAAATCTCACCCACTGTTTGTCTGTGTACTAATGTGTATGTAGTTGTAGTATGTAGTTTAATAGAAATAATATTGAAATTGTAATATCGCCAAGTGCAATATCCAAATCGCATTTTTAATGAATGTATCACAACTCAACGTACCATTATAAACTAAGCATTGTGGTGCAACAGAGATGCCCCATACAAATCATATTCTACAGACGTAAGGGAACTTGCTTGTTTGATATAGACTCCAGCAAAAAACACATCATAATTTAAAATTTTATTTCAGTGAAAATAAAATTCACCATTCCCACTTACAATTGCAATATCTGTCAAAATAATTGCAATATAATTTTTTTTGCATATCGTTCAGCCCTAATGCATGACAATAAAAAGTGTTCAAACTGTTCCCTGGAATCTGCCTTGGACACAAGATATCTCTTGAAATCCTTCCTAAGGTGGTACAGCTTGTGTGCTGAGTGGTCAGCCGTTTGACACCACAAAGGTGAAGATGCAGACGTTCCCCACCATGTACCGCGGCTTCATCCACTGCTTCACGTCGACCTTCAGGCAGGTGGGACTACGTGGTTTCTACAAAGGCACAACCCCAGCCCTTATAGCCAACATCAGTGAGAATGCTGTGCTCTTTGTGAGTTATGGTCGCTGCCAGGATGTGATCCGCTTTGTGTCCAACACGGATAAGGGGGCCGATCTCAGGTTTGACACTGACAATTTTGTGTAATTATTTGTGTATCCATTAGAAGCTCCATAACTGGCTGTGGTGATGAACATTTCGACATACCAATATTGTGTGACATAACAGATATTAATATGAAGCAAGACTGTAGTTGTATAGCTTAGTTTGCAGACCATCAGTGTGACTTCTTAGAATCGTGTTGGTCATACATTTTTTCTGTTACTGTTATCATTTACAGTGGGGGAAAAAAGTATTTGACCCCTTGCTGATTTTGCAGGTTTGCCCACTTACAAAGAATGCAACAATCTACAATTTTAATCATATGTACATTCTAACAGTGAAAGATAGAATCCCAAAGCAAATTCCAGAAAATCACATCATATGAATTTATAAAAATTGCTAACCATCTGATGAGGAAAAACAAGTATATGACCCCCTACCAAACAGCAAGTATTCTGGCTCCTACAAGCCAGTTAGTCTTTCTTTAAGACACAGCCCCAATCCCAACCAATTATCTACATCAAATACACCTGCCTCACCTCGTTACCTGTATAAAAGACACCTGTCAACACCCAAACAACCAGCATCCAACATCACCACCATGGGCAGGACCAAAGAGCTTTCTACGGACATCAGGGACACGATTGTTGATCTGCACAAGGCTGGGATGGGCTACAAGAGAATCGGAAAGCAACTTGGAGAGAAAAGATCAACTGTCGGTGCAGTTATCAGGAAATGGAAGAAGCACCACACCACCGCCAACCTCCCTCGGTCTGGGCCTCCACACAAGATCTCGCCTCGTGGGGTGTCCCTGATCATGCGAACGGTGAGGAATCATCCCAAAACCACAAGGGGGGAACTGATGAATCAACTGAAGGCAGCTGGGACCACAGTTACAAAAGAAACGGTTGGTAACACACTACGCCGTCATGGATTGAAATCCTGCAGCGCACGCAAGGTCCCCCTGCTCAAGAAGAAACATGTATAGGCCCGCATGAAGTTCGCCATTCACCACCTGGACGACTCAGAAGAGGCCTGGAAGAAGGTGATGTGGTCAGATGAGACCAAAATAGAACTTTTTGGCCTCAACTCAACTCGTCGTGTTTGGAGGGCAAAGAACACCGAGTACAACCCAAAGAACACCATCCCCACCGTCAAGCATGGTGGTGGCAACATCATGCTTTGGGGGTGCTTTTCAGCCAAGGGGACGGGACAACTCCATCGTATTGAGGGGAGGATGGACGGGGCCATGTATCGTGGAATTCTGGACCAACATCTCCTTCCCTCAGTGAGAGAGCTGAAGATGGGTCGAGGATGGGTGTTTCAGCACGACAACGACCATAAGCACACCGCCAAAGCAACAAAAGAGTGGCTGAAGAAGAAGCACATCAAGGTTCTGGAGTGGCCTAGCCAGTCTCCAGACCTGAATCCAATTGAAAATCTTTGGAGGGAGCTTAAAATTCGAGTTGCCAGGCGACAACCTCGGAACCTGAATGATTTGGAGGCTGTCTGCAGGGAGGAGTGGGCCAACATCCCTGCCGAAATGTGCACAAACCTTGTCACCAACTATAAAAACCGTTTGACATCTGTGCTGGCCAATAATGGCTTTTCTACAAAATATTAACATGCTGTTTGTCCAGGGGGTCAAATACTTGTTTTTCCTCATCAGATGGTTATCAATTTTTATAAATTCATGTTCTGTGATTTTCTGGAATTTTCTTTGGGATTCTGTCTTTCACTGTTAGAATGTACATATGATTAAAATTATAGATCGTTGCATTCTTTGTAAGTGGGCAAACCTGCAAAATCAGCAAGGGTTCAAATACTTATTTCCCCCACTGTATATCCTCCCCACTTCCTTCAATGTCTTCCAGGAATTGGTCCACACCCTGTGCAGTAAAGTGTTTCACCATGCACTATTGTGCAATGCTACAGTCACACAATTCTATATCACTGAATGTCTTTGGGGGGCATTTTGAGAACTTAACAATTACTTTAGAAGTTTTCAACCATGACCCTATTTTCCCATGTTGTTGTGGCTTATTGGGGCAATAGTTCAGTCCAATGTTGAGTGAGCGCACTGCGGTCTGCAGTAGCGAATCAGGGCTACAATGGAATACTTGCAGGCAATTGTGTCCCATCAAAGTTTGCCCACTAAAGTGGTTGCTTTTGCCACTGACAGGCTCAGATTGTTGTTCTTACGTGTCTGACAACATTGTGGAAAGGATCCTTTCAGAGACAGACCTTTTTTAAAATTTAAGATGCTTTTTGCTTGACCAGAAACATATCACTCACAGTAAAGATAATAAAATGTGACGAGGAAGGACATGTTTTTTGTAAATGGATGTAAAAAATATTAGATGGAAATGACTCTCAATCTTAGGAGCACATTATTCAGAGAAATTCTCGGTGTCTAGCCAGTCCCTTGACATTTAATGAGAAGGTGACTTTGTCTACTGAAGACTTTTTGTTTGAGATAGAAACAATTCTATCCGATCTGGACCAGGAAATGTAAGTGAAAACTATCTTTAGTACATTCATAGGATGCTTTTTCATTTAGTGCACTTAATGTGTGTCAGAGCAAATTCCCTCTTATTTGTGGTTACGAGAGGAAAGAATTTATGTTTTTGTCTTATATGTAAATGTCCTGAGTGAACCTAAAGACTAAGGTATTCTTCCTGTAAGCACACTAAAAATCTTTTATTATTAATTCTTCTTATGTACTCTTTTTAATTTCTCATCAGTGATCTTCAGAAGGCATCCGCAGGGTCTTTAGCCTCCATCTTCTCCGCTATGGCAATATGCCCCACCGAGCTGGTGAAATGTCGCCTGCAGGCAATGCACGAAATGGAAGCATCTGGCCAGATCACAAAAGGACCGAGAAGGTAAGCGTGACTTACAAGTGATGTTGGAAAGAGCAGGACACGTGGAGTTTAAGTTTATACACATTTGACTGTGTTTTGTGGTGTGACTCCAGCACAGTGTGGACAGTAGTGAAGACAGTGTTGAAGACAAACGGTCCCCTGGGTTTCTACCAAGGACTGACATCCACCATTGTGAGGGAGATACCAGGTTACTTCTGCTTTTTTGGGGCCTATGAACTGTGTCGGTCCAAATTTGCACAGTACATGGGCACTGACAAGGACAGTATAGGTATGGTTAAATTATTTTCCAATAATATTTAATGAGTCATTATGCTGTTTTTAATGTTGTCATGTTTCTGTGATCTGCTCCCACAAAATAATTTTGGCCTTCGCAGGTATTCTTCCACTCATGTTCAGTGGTGGATTTGGGGGAGCTTGTCTTTGGTTGGTGGTTTATCCCATAGACTGTGTGAAGTCCAGGATCCAGGTACACTCTTTAACTGGGAAGCAGAAGGGCTTCATGAAGACCTCCATCAGTATCATGCGCACTGAGGGTAAGATTTGAACATACATTCTAAAATTGAAATTAAATATAGTCTTTGTGAGACATTGTATTTTATTTAACTTGACAACAATGAATGAAAACACCATAGCATATAAAGTACAGTATTAAAGGTGTCCTACATGACAGCAGCAAAGCATTCTGAGAGAGAAATTTTAATGTGTCGCACAACATATAACATGCAAAACATAAAAATTTTAAAAAGAATAGTTTTCTGAAGGAAGTTGAAGCGTGCTCACAGCTGAAAATTTCCAGTTGAAATTATTGAAATGGTTGAAATACTTGGAGTGTGTCAGTTGAAATGCAGTTTGTGAAGCAGAAATGGAGATTACAATGGAAGCCCTGAAAGAATTTGAAGATTCAATTTACGTGTAAGCACTAAAAGCGTTGAGAGCAGATGAAATCATCAAAGTGTCAAATTGTAATCACTGAAAACAAATGAACTCTCATTAAAAAGTAAGTGCTGAAAGCAGTTGAATTATGAGTTGTGTAACCAGTGACAGCGGTTGAAATGTCAATTAATGAGTAAGAGATGAAAGCACTTGAAATGAAAATGCGTATTAACAGGACAGCAGGTATGTATAGAAATTTAAAATGAATAATCTGGCCATAGATCCATACATTCATTGTGGTTTTTTATTTATTTATTTAATTTTTTTACATGAGTCAGATCAGATTTTCAGATACTTTATTTGGGTACTCATATCACCACATGAAAGCATCAATATAAAGAAAGCATGTATTTGTTGAATGTGTCTGTTTCTTTGTGGCCTTAAAGTAAGCGGTAGATCAGTTATACATTGATATATTGTTCATGAATCCTATGGTGCTCAGATCAGGATAATGGTGCTAATGGGGTCACAGGGTGCCAACAAAACATCTCAACAGAGCAGGCTCTATAGGGCTATTTTTATTTTTATTCTTATCTAATACTTGTAGAATTTCTTTAGAAGTACATTTGTTGGCCTGATTTAGATGATAAATTAAGGGATGAATTTGATATAAACTTGTATAATGTAAACTAGGGCAGCTGAAGTTTTTAGACTGCTGGTCTGACTTTGACGCAGTGTGTGGTTGCATCCTGTTACTAACTGGCCCAAGCTGGGGACCTGACTCATCTATGGGGAATGACCTGTGTAGCTGTTTGACTCTGTCGTCCCGCAGGGTTCACTGCTCTGTACTCTGGTCTGACTCCTACCATGATACGCACCTTCCCTGCCAACGGAGCACTCTTTCTTGCTTACGAGTTCAGTCGCAAGTTCATGATGGAGAAAGTTGGTGCCTGAGGTGGAGGATCTTTACACTTGAAGCAAATCTTCTGGTAAAGCACAACCATGTCCCCTTTATTTTTTATTGTGTCTTATTGTTAGCCTGAAAAAAGACCAAATATTTTGCAAATATTGCTTGGTATGCCTATATTTGAATATACTGTAAACAAAATAAACACTGTGTCTATACTGTGCTGACCACATTTTAATCTTAACATCCATATGTCTTAATTTAATACTTTGTGAAATAGAGTACAGAATAGTAAAGAATATGAACAGCTTTCTTCCCAGAATGAATGCTCATCATTTTTAACCTTAGGTTAAGTTGGAGAAATTATAAATTCAATATAAAAGATAGCTGAAAATTGGACTAAACAAAGCTGCAAAAAAAAGACAAAGAGTAAAAGTCAGATTTAAAAAAAACGTGTAGGTCAAATGGTTTCGCTTTGACTGATCTGTAACAATGACCTCTTAATGTTTCTCTTTTTTGTTGTGTGTCACAGTGACAGTAAGAGAAGTAGGATTAAGCAACTGCTGAATTATGAGTAATCCAGCATGATGGAAAATTAAACAGATGTGGTCATCCCCCCCAAATAAAAAGGCTCACACATATCGATTTTTGCTGTGCTTTTGATTTTTTTTACTTCCATTAAAAAAAAAAAAAAAAAAAAAACTAAAAAATGATCCTGGTTGCATTTCAAACTCATCAACTCATCAAGGACAAAGGGAGCCTGTTGTGTTGTGTGTAGTGTTACTGTAACAACATGATTCACATTTACTTTTGTACTATAAGCAGTGAGCTGGCTTTATCATGTGACAGTACATTAAAGGAACTTCATCCAAAAATTATCGTAACAAGCAGCTCACATGCTGGTTCTTATGATACACATACACTGTGTACTGTGCTGCTTCACATCAAAGAAATTCCTTTTTTTGATTTTGTAGTCAGGCTGTTTAACATACTGTAATTATGTAACCCTCTGTTATACAACACTTTGCAATAAATATAAAATTGATGATGTATATTTTTTATTGTATTTTGTACATTTCTTTAGTAAATTGGTGGTAAATTGTGTTTATTTGTACATTCCTTCACCTCCTTCCTTTACTGTTTTCCTCTCTGCCTCACATTCTTTGTCTGTGTATTTCCTCCTCTCCTGTTTAGGATAGATTTTAATAAATTTCCAACAAAAATCTCAACGACAACAGTGAAAACTCATTCTCAGTTTTTATACATTTTAAATGTGAGTAAACTTTTATTATAAGATAGGAAAGACGAGCTTGACCTTTACTGCTCTCATGTTTCACAACCTGGATACCATCTATTGTTCATTCATAATCTCAGCAGGTGTCAGTCTCCTGGACGTGAATGTGAAAGAGTATAACGGGAAAGCACAAGAGTTGAATGTTAACGTTTCTTATACAGGAGCCACACAGAGGCTGGTTAGGCTCTATGGTTCACGTTAACTGTTGGCACCCACTAGGTGAGCCCAAGAGCCGCACCAAGACATCGTGAGTGTATGTGTGTGTCTCTCAGGCTCATGAAATGTAGCAGGTAATGAGAGAAGGGGACAGACCACACCCCTCACAGAGAACAGACAGGTAAACAGGTGCTTTGCTCGCTCCATCACACGCACAACATACTCAGTAATGATCTCAACAACATCCAGCATGGCCGAGATGGTTGCACAAAGTAAACTTCAGATCAACTGCGTTGAGAATGTCGAAGGTAAATACTTTTACAGTTTTCATTTTGATCATCAATCAAAATGTTTATTTTTTTCACCTTGCTTATAAGTCTGAATTATTCAGGGTGCCAATGCCAAGAATAATAGATGTTGTTTGAGGGCAACCTTATTCAACTATAGTAAAAGGATAAAATATGTATATATGGATTAAAAAGTAAAAAAGTAAACAGATTTACTTAATAATGTAATGAAGAGCACAATGTTTAACATACTGACAGGATGAATAGTTTTACTAAGTCTATTACTGTATTAATAATAACACCTAATATTAAGAATTGGTGTCTTTTTGATACTCGACATTTTCAAATTTAAAATGTCTCAGCTTCTTCCTTCAAAAGCACCAGTATCTTTGGCTTTTGGACTGTTGTATGGAGAGTCCAAGTTAATATCTGCAAATGCCGTACCTTGTTTTGTCTGTACATCAGTCCACAAACCCAGCAGAATAAAGCAGAGAAAAGAGGCTATGGACAGTGTTGGGCAGTAGCACTAGTTTAACTACATTTCTCAGTAGATTTGTGGTAGCGTCGCTATTTTCTGAATCAAATGGCTTTTCAGTAACGAAGCTCTTCTATTGACCGAGTAGAGCGGTAGATTCCACACACGCTACATTTTCCCAAGCATTTCTGAAGGATCAGTAGCCTAAGTAACGCCACTGCAACACACGGACCTGTATGTGTGCAGCCGGCAGAAGCGAAACGCTTCCGGGTGACGGCGACATCACGTACTGATCCATGGGCTGATGTCTGCGACTTTGTTGCAGGGGAATAAAGACACGCGCGATTGAGTTGCTTTCTATTGTGATAGTTATTGTAATACCTCTTGTGAGAAGGATCAGGGTCCAGCCTGGACACTTCTTCCTCTAGTGAGGTGGAAACTTTGATATGTAGTGGCAGAAACTTGTTTCCATGAGAGGAGATCTCTCTCTCTCTCTCTCTCTCTCTCTCTCTCTCTCTCTCGCCCATTGCCATGAATGTTTGTTGTTTAGGTGGCAATGTTGCCAGAGCACAAATTCACATATGAACAATTAAAAATATATAATTAATTAATAATGTGATAATTAAGTTACTTTATACAAACAACAATGGTTCTCCGTTTGTTGCATGAGGAAATACATTTAGCTGCAATGATATGGCAATAAGTAGGAGAGTTTCTGTGTGTCTGATTTAGCTCTCTCTGGCACACAAACTGTTTGGAGCATATTTTTAGTCTTTCTTCTATTGCTACTGTGGAATGAAGTTAGTTCAATATACACTAAGGCCTATGCTGTGTGTGTGAGTGTTTATATATATATATACACTCTTGAACAAAATCTTAAGACCGGGGGAAATATTGCAAGTCATCATAACTGGGTTGTAAGTACTGCTTCAAAATGCCAAAAGAAGAAACAGAAGCAAGAGACAAAAAATAGAGAGTAGGCAATTTATTGAAAACTGCATTTAAACTCAAACAGGCTGTTCATCAGCTGATCAAAAGTTTAAGACCATAGCCCAAAAATAAACATACAACAGAACTAAAAGTGTCAAAAGGACTCTTGTTCTTGTTCTTGTTGATCACTTGTTCTTGTTGATCACTTCAAACACTCGTTTCGGCATGCTTGATGCAACTGTTCCCAGGAGGCTGCTGGGAACGTTGCTCCATGTGGTGAAGATGGCTTCACAAAGGGCATCCACGGTCTGGAACTGACGTCTGTTTTTGTAAACTTCCCTTGCCATCCATCCCCAAATGTTCTCAAAGGGATTTAGATCAGGAGAACACGCAGGCTGGTCCAAAAGAGCAACGTTATTCTCCTGGAAGAAGTCCTTCGTCAGGCGGACGTTGTGAATTGCAGCGTTGTCCTGTTGAAAGACCCAGTCATTACCGCACAGACGGGGGCCCTCAGTCAAGAGGGATACCTGTGCAACATGTCCACATAGCCAGTCGCCGTTTGACGCCCCTGGAAAACCTGAAGCTCCATTTTCCCATTGAAGGAAAAAGCACCCCAAATCATGATGGAGCCTCCTCCACTGTGCCGCGTAGAAAACATCTCCGGTGGGATCTCCTTGTCATGCCAGTAACGTTGGAAGCCATCAGGACCGTCCAGGTAAGATTTTTTCTCGTAAGAGAATAAAACTTTCTTCCACCTTTCAATGTCCCATGTTTGGTGCTCCCTTGCAAATTCCAAACGGGCAAGTTTGTGGCGTGGGAGGAGACGTGGCCTTTGAAGACGTTTTTTGTTCTTGAAGCCCTTCTCTCGCAGATGATGTCTTATGGTTATTGGGCTACAGTCAGCATCAGTAAGTGCCTTAATTTGGGTTGAGGATCGACCTGTGTCTTCACGGACAAACTGTCGGATCCTGCGGCTCAGTGCAGGTGAAATTTCTTTGGGTCTACCACTTGACTTTTTTGTCCGATAACTCTCAGGATCTTTTAAGAAATGTAAAATGACTGTCTTACTGCGTCCAACCTTGGCAGCGATTGCGCGTTGCGAGAGGCCTTGCTTGTGCAGCTCAACAATCCTGCCACGTTCAACGAGAGAAAGCCTTTTTGCCTTTGCCATCAGGAGATCATGACAGTGTGACTGCCTGAAGATCAATGACACGAAAGCCATATTTTTGTGCAGATTTTACCTTTTTATGCCTATGGTCTTAAACTTTTGATCAGCTGATGAACAGCCTGTTTGAGTTTAAATGCAGTTTTCAATAAATTGCCTACTCTCTATTTTTTGTCTCTTGCTCCTGTTTCTTCTTTTGGCATTTTGAAGCAGTACTTACAACCCGGTTATGATCCACCAGCGAAATGCGAGTACTTGCAATGTTGCAAGATTTTGTTCAAGAGTGTATATGACCTAACTATAAAATATAAAAAAAATTAAAAGTAGCTTAGATGTAACTAAGCTACTTTTGCCATGTTGCTAGCTTAGCTTGCTACTTTTCACTGGGGGGTAGCTTCTGTGTAGTGAAGCTTCATTTAATGTAGAGTAGCTAGTAGCTTAGCTCACATTTTCCAAGTAGCTTGCCCAACACTGGCTATAGGTCATATTGGAAAAGCTTGAATAATTGACTGGCATTTTTGCTTGATAGATGACTCAAATGATGTAAACTTGATGAACCAAGCTACTGCTAAAGCTAAATTGTCTTCTGCATGTTACCTTTTTAGTTTGTGTATAAAATTATATTTATATACATTTTAACATTTTATAGATGAATTGATTGATTAACTAATACAGTAATAATAAATAATATGCATGAATTTTTTGTGTCACCTTAATGAAAGGTGCTTGCCCCACTGTATCAAATTATTGTTTAATAGTGTGACCAAAATAACTACAAAAATGTGTTTGGTCTGAATTTAAATGTGTGGAACAAAGGTGTCATGGGAAATTTACGATATACTGTACCTCTCCATACTCCAGTACAAGCTTGTAAATTGTGTTTCACTCTCTGCAGATAAAAGTTCAGGAAGACTTGGTTGTTTCGGTTGGCTGTTGGTTCTCCTATCCCTCCTCTTTGTAGCAGCAACCTTCCCACTCACAATATTTATGTGTATTAAGGTGAAGTATATTCTCATTGATGTCTACAGATTAGGATTAGACCAGTATTTGTTTCTGAAAGCTGATACAGATACCCATGTCTTTGCACAAGACTTGCTAGGGCTACAGCAAATTGTCAGTATTCACTGCTCTGGAAGTTTTGTGACTGCTTTATAAAATTATGATCAAGTTTAAACAGTTTCCCAAGTGAAAATATGGCAGGCCAAAGAAGCCTTTAATTATTGAATTTATTTATTTAAGGGGTTATACGTGGCAGGAGACACACAGAACCAGAGGGATCATTTAGTTTAAGTGATTGAAGAATCATTGAAATTGCTCATTGTTTGTAGAAAAATGAGACCGTTTCAGTTTCTTTATCGCAGGTGCGTTGTTGTGTACCACAGCCACTGGGGGGCCAAAAGTCAGACATTTTCCAATGCTACCCATTGTGGCTTGGCAGGGTGACCCACTGTATTTGTTCAGGGAGTATTCTTTGTAAAACTTTTTTAAAAAGCATTATTGGCCAATCTAATGAATAAATGAAATGATCATATGTTACATAGTAGCTGTTGTCACAGAAGAAGTGGATGACACTGAGTAGCTGGTATGGCAACTATACATTATTAAACTTATTAAAAGTATTATACTACTATTAAACTGTATGGGTCTAACCCTTACAGGAATGTATTTGCTTTTAGTTTACTTATGTGGTATCATGTCATGAGATCATTTCCCCTTTACACTGCTTTGTTTTTTGTCTTTCTTATGTTCTTTGTTTGGCTGGCTGTGTTTCTAACATCCAGATAGTGAAGGAGTATGAGCGAGCTGTCATCTTTAGGCTCGGCCGGATCACAGACAGAAAACCTAAAGGGCCAGGTTTGTCATGCAGTGTGTTTCATACATACACTATGGGGGCAAATATTCAGAAACTGGTTTCTTGGCTGAAAAAGTCTGCTTAAAAAGTTGATTCCATACTATGATCCAATTAGGTTTCATCTACAATCTTAATATACAGTCCTGTGCCACAGTGGGACTGGATAGGACTTCTTTCTGAAATTGGTTACCAGCCAGTTGGATTGTCCACTTTGATGCTCTGTCTTATTACTTCCTGTTATATTCAACAATAACTTCTACAGTATATGATGGTATTAATAGATTGCCAAAGCACTTGTTGACAATGATTGATACAAAACATAAAAGCTGGGACTTTATTTCTTTCCAGGACTTTTCTTTATTCTGCCATGCACTGATAACTTTGTGAAAGTTGATCTGAGAACTGTTTCCTTCGACATCCCTCCACAGGAAGTATGTGTTTTTATACTTGTTATATTTTGTTCAAATGTGGAAATATAATTTATATATTATTTTATTATTTTTATATTTGTGTTTGTCCTGTATCACAGCTTGTTTCTGTCATTAATAAAAAACTGTCTGTCATCTTCCTGGGTAGGAATAGTAGCGGGCATCATAAATATAGCTTTTTACCTTGCAGATCTTAACCAAAGACTCAGTGACAGTGTCTGTGGATGGCGTGGTGTACTTCCGCATACACAGCCCCATCTCATCTGTAGCCAATGTGTCCAACGCCCACTTATCTACACGGCTGCTGGCTCAAACCACCCTGAGGAATGTACTCGGCACCAAAATCCTGGCAGAACTGCTATCTGACAGAGAGAGCATATCACTCAGTATGCAGGTGAGAATGAACTGTGTTGTAATAAGATTTATGAGGAGCTGGATGGCAGAAGATAAGGGCGTCTATTAAATTTAGTAACTGTAAAAAGATTGTAAAGGAATGGTTAAATATAAAATCAAAATTAATTTATGTTCTGGTGACACCTACATTAGTTAAAATTCTGACTTTGTGCAACAAAACATATTTTTTAGGCCAACTACTTCCACTTCAGCCTTCATCCTAACACGACTTTTTTCTAAAAGCTACAAAAGGGGACGAAAATTTGGACTTAGGTGTTGAATCCAACATCAACCGCATTACAGTCCATTTTAATAATTTGCAATAATTACAATAATTTGCTTGTGTTTTAACCAGGTGCATCATTTGTATGTTCGAGAGGAAGACATTAGAAAAATCTGGGGCAAAACCACAAAGTCACTGTGCTGAAAACCTGAGTAGATAGGCTAATGAACTTTAACTCTGGAATACTCCAAAAACAGGCTGACTCTGACGTCTAAGTTTTTCAGCAGATTGTACTGGCTAACACGTTTTTACACATTACATTCATTTTAAACCTGCTTTTCATTTTGTTTGTCTGTGTGTTATTTGGTAGCCTGGATGAAAAGAGCGGTAAGAATGAACCAATGAACAAACATACCACAAAACCAAAACAATGTGTAAATAAAGGCTAAAAATCTCCAGAGATCGAGTTGGGTGATGCATGATTTGTAGTCATTTAAGTGATAGTAATTCATTAAAACATAACTCATTAGTGGAGCTAACAATGTTTTTTTGTGACTGGAGTATTTATTCTTCAATAATGCCCTGCAGGAAGCTCTGGACGAAGCCACTGAACCGTGGGGTATTAAGGTGGAGCGTGTGGAGATAAAGGATGTGAAACTGCCTCAGCAGCTGCAGAGAGCCATGGCAGCAGAGGCAGAAGCCAGTCGGGAAGCCAGAGCAAAGGTGAAGAGAGCAATGGAAGATTTAATTTAATTTACTCTTGATATACTCTGTAAGAAAAACAAGGGATGCTGAAAGGGAACGTTAGAAATAATGATCATATGTCTGTGTTTCAGTTAATTTCTGCAGAGGGGGAGATGAAGGCCTCCAGGGCTCTGAAAGAAGCCTCTTTGATAATTGCTGAGTCACCCTCTGCTCTCCAGCTGCGATACCTGCAAACCCTCAACACCATTGCAGCAGAGAGAAACTCCACCATTATCTTTCCTCTGCCCATAGATATGTTGCAGACTTTTATGCAGAGGAAGTAATAAATCTCACAGACAGCAATTACTGAAAGAGTTAAATGAAATCACATTTGCACTGTTATTATTGGTATATAGCAGGGGTTCTCAAACTGGGGAGCAGCCCTCTGTGGGAAGGACGCCCTTCAGGGGGGTCGTGGATGTTGAGCAGATCTAAAGTTGCATGAATATGATCCATGTGGTGACATAAACAAACAAAAGTGCTCTAATGCTAACCTGAATCTTTTTCCCACTAATCCACTTTTGCTACATGCATACATACATTATTTTTGGCTTCTGATAGAGGGAAGTTTGAGAACTACTGGTATTTGTTTTAAGCTTCATTGGTATCCTTTTAGATCCATTGGTATTTTTAGATTTACATTTATTCATTTAGCTGACGCTTTTAATCAAAGCGACTTACAATTGCTATATACGCATGTCAGAGGTCGCACGCCTCTGGAGCAACGAGGGGTTAAGTGTCTTGCTCAGGGACACAATGGTGGATCTGTCACAGTGGGCGATTGAACCCGGGTCTCTCACACCAAAGCCATAGTGTTATCCATTGCACCACCGCCAGATAGATACTGTATGGTCCAAGAGGCTTAGCATATTTACAGCTGAACTGCGCTACAATTATGTATTTAAAGACATATCCATGCCAGATCTCATTTTTGTACACTTATTTTCTGATTGTGATTTAATACTTGAATACAAAGTGCAACATTTACAGAATAGACTTTAGTTTCATTGACCACAATACTTCAACGAGCTAAGCTACGGTTGCAGTTCTGGAGGAAGACAAATAAATAAATAAATAAATAAATGAAATTCACAAGAAATGTAAAATAAAAATAATACACAACAACCTTATAAAGACATGCTTTCATGTAAACGTATCCAGAGCATGATTTGTGAAATACTGAATACAATCTTTACAACAGAAGTCCTTTAAAAAAAAATCAACCCAAGTCCCGACATCCATGTGATACACCAACATTCTCTGACACTGGATGTAAACTGTAAACAAATCCTCTTATTCTAGTGTTGAACAAACATTCAGTAAATGAGAACAAGGTCATACCCACAGGACACAGAGGCAATCAGTGCAATCAGAGTACCTGATGGAGAGGAATATTATTTCCACTTCCTTGCAGAACACAGTAAAGCCCACCAACTCCAACACAATCAACTTATTGTCCTAACAGTAAATGCAACTCACCTACAACCAAATCCCTATTTGAGCAGATTTCTACATTTTGTGTGTCTGGGGGAGCTGATTATTATATCATTATCATAATAAAGAAATATTTTGTAAAACAATTTTATATATTTGCTAACTGCACTAAGCTCTTTAAAATAGCTAAACATATTGTGGACATTCAAATAATTGTATACAAAGGATATCTTGCAACATAGAGCTGAGTGGCTAGTTAAACATGAGCAAGTATAAAAAAAGTACAATACAAAAAAGGATGACTGTTGCTTCCCTTTGATCACTCAAAATGTTCCCCAAGACCTGAGATTATTCTCTACAATGAGACATGAGGTAACCGCTTGCAGATTTATATCATATGATATAGTCATATTTATATAATTTGATAAGTTTTAATTCTTAAACAAATTTTGGACAGGAATTTTGTCAAGCATCATCTGGAGGTACAAATGGAGAGAATGAATGTTTGGAAGCCATAATAGTTTTTTCCATCACATTTGCTCATGAGTTTTTTTGTGGTGAATTTCAAATCACACAGAAAACAATCAGCAATGGAGAAAACAGCAGCAGCTGCAACAGTGAGGATAAGGTACGCATAAAGAAAGAGAATGTATGAATGCAATATAACGAACAGATGATGGATTTACATGTGTTCTGGTCAATTTATTTTGACTAGAACTGCAATGTATGCACCACTTCTGGCTGATTCTGCAGCACCTAATTTTAGACACATGACAGCTACAGTACATGATGAACAGCTGTGTTTCATGATTTCCTCTTTGGTGATCCTGTATTTTTGTAGGAAAAAGGATGTTTTCTTAACCTGACTGACCTTGAGGGGCATTCATCTCACATAAGAAATGTAAGATTAGTCTGAAATGTGTAATACAATGATTCATTGATTTTTTTTCTTGGTTTCATTTGAATAAATCCTGCTCTGTTTTATTAGAAATAACAGGTAACATGTGTTGCCCCTTCACCTTATACTTCATTATCGTCACACTGTAGGTAATCCTAAAACCATTAGAACTGGAAGACAGAACATGCTTTAAAGAGTGCACTAAATGTACAGTTTTGACAAATTATAATCAATAATATAGTTACACCATGTTGGCAGTTCAATGGATTTATGTATTTTTAAGTTGTTCTAATCATACATTTCAGGTCAACATCTAGTTGTTTAAGGAGAAAGTAGAATGGATGGTTGAGGTTAGATGGCAAGGTAGTCATTCATTTACTCCTGATAAATGAAATATTTCAGGTTAACATGCCCCAGAGAAGAATCCACACTTTGAGAGTAACTTACTGTAGGTAGGTTTGTGATTTTACCCAAAGTATTGCCTGTGCCTTGATAGACGTTGCTGGTAGGAGAGAATGATGGCAAAAGGCGCTTCTTGTGTTTGTTGTTGCACTTGTGATGTTTGCTGTGTCCCATTCATCATCCTGAGCACTGGATGAGATGGTGGTGATGTAGATGGAGGCGAAGAGATGGAAATGAGGCACTGTGACTCTGATCTTGCTCTATTAAGTCTACAATGACCAGGTCTTTCATCTGCTGCGCTATCACAGCACGCCTGCTTTGTGGGGCGTTGAGGAGGAATAGAAAAGAAAGAGGGCAGAGAATTCCCTTTTGAACGATAAGAGGCGTAATCATTAATACAATTCTTTAGGTCAGAGATTGAAATTCCTGGGGTTGGACTTTGGAAATGCATTCAATGGGTGAGCAGCATTTCCCAAGAAACAAATGTATCTGTGTCTGTCCATCTACATACTGTAAAATTCTACTCTTTTAATTGAGGAACATTCAACAGAGAAATAAATCAGGGCTTCCGAAGCCAGATAAAAGAAAGTGTTTGATACAAGAGCTTCAATTGAAAGTGTCACTGATGGTAGGAGTGTGGGCGGGCAGGGGAGCCTGGTCCAGACAAGGGTCTATGAATGGGGGAGGAGCTGGGGGACATGCGAGGGCTCAGCTCGCCTGTCTGAAGACGCCACAGTAGTTCCTCATTAGTGCGACTCAGCCGCTTCTTCTCGTTGCTCTCCTTCTCCACATTCACTTGCAGGTTGGCATTCTCTTCAGAAAGTTGCCTGAGAAAAAAGAGGGACAGGGAAAGGTCCAAACATAAATACCATGCACTAGTGCTGCATTCCTTTCAAAGGGATAAGTCAGAAATTTCCAGCAAAGTTGTAGTTTTAATCTCCAGTGATTCTGCTTGGTAAAAACAGTTGGATATGCCCCAAAATAGTTTCTCATGTTAACACATGGTGCTTGATCTTGGGGTTATTATGTACTATTCAATATACAAGTAATATATCCAGAAAATCACAAGGTTATATTGAAAAAATCTTGGCAAACAAGATAATGAATTTTGGCTGCAGAAATAAATATTTAAATATCTTGTTTGTAATTTTATTAATGTGCCTCCTAAACCCACCTAAAGTAACTTCGACTGGTTTGAACTGGGTTTTAAATCTACACTAGTATGTATATAAACCTAACTGACCGTGACACAGCAAGGTTCTTGTCTATTCTTTCCTTCAGGTCCTCGTTCTGCTGCTGTAACACTTGCAGTCTCTCCTCCAGGTACACATTCTTTTCAGCCTGCTCAAAAACACAGGAGAAAAGGTGCACAACATTAAATTCTTCAAATGATGTATGACAATTATAAGTAAAACAGGCAAACTGTTAAATTTACAGAGGAGACATTTCTTCTAAAAACTACTGGGAGTGCATATGTCCCATTTTTGTCATGTGATGCTGTCTCTAGCTTTCTCTGGATGTTAGGTGTTATTGGACTTTGAAAGTACAACTTCAATGTGTGAGTTTAATATTTTTGACAACTTCACACACAAAACTAATTAAAACAATCATCAGTTTTCCTTTGTTTCTAAACAAAGGCAGAAATTTGAAGCCTACTATTTTCTCCAGTTCTGAGATCTTCTGTTCCTGCTGATGAATTTGTTGATTCTTCATCTCCAGTACTTCTTTCAAACTCTTCAGGTCCTCATCAATATGTTTATATGGCGCCAAAGCATCCTGGCAACAGCAGATAACATTAGTGAAAACCACCATCGCTCTTTATAACCAATAAATAATGTTTTCTTTAAGTTTAATGCAGCTACTGTCACCAAAGCAGTCAACATATTGTCCTGTACTGTATCATACAGCAGTTACCACTATCTGCTCATCTGTGCTCCTGCGCAGAGCTTCTTCAAAGCGCTTGGCTCGGTCTCTGAGGCTGCGATTCTGAAACGTCAGCGTGTCCACCTGATCCTAGTGACCAGATAGATATTAACATGTTACTGTCACTAACAACAAAATGTATTACACCATGTTTCTAATATATTTTAAAGGAGAACTATTTACCTGCAGTGACAATCTGATCTTTTGAAACTCTTCTTCCAGAGACTTTGTCTGCTGTTCATGGGCCATCTTCAGATCTGACACAAAAAATAACATGATCATCTCTCTTGACCTGCAGCAAAATGAGTCAGTACACGAGAGCAACAAGTTTCAAATGGAGTGCTTACTCTTCACAGTTCTGGCATGCTCTTCCTGCAGAGTGGCCAGTGTGTCATTGTGAGCTGTCTCCATCTCCATCAAGGAAGCCTCCTGGTTCTCACTCATTTCCTCAATCTGGGGCCAAGATTTAGAGAATTAACAATCACAAAAATAACTTCATACTATTATAATAATGTACTACGTAGTGTACTGCTAATTGTTTTCACAGGAACAGTTTCTTTAGTATAGCACTTGAAAAACAGTTCATAGTGAGGTCTGTGGAAAATCCAGTGTAACTGGGAAATTGTTTCTCAGAGCCAGATAATCAAAACCAGGAATAGGTAAATAAGAAAATATTTAGGTGACCCGACCCTTTCAGTGACATCACATCATATCAGATGTGGACTAAACAGATATATCCAGTCTTCATTAAAACACACACACCTGCTCTTGCTGTTTGACCCGTAGCTCCTCCAGCTCGGCTTGTTGTTGGGCCTGCAGGCTCTCGGTCTCGGCCATGTGCTGAACCTTCAGCCGCTCCTCCAGAGCTCCCAGCTCCCTCTGCTGCTGAGCCCGCAATCCCTGCAGCTCAGCCTCAAAACGACACTCCAGTTCCTCCTTCTCCCGCTGCAGTTGCTCCCAGTGTGCAACACTGAAAGCTGGAACACAATGTAGAGCTTTAGTTTGTTTTACTAGATCCAAATTTAGGTAACGTACTGACTACAATAGAAGCAACTTTATTCTAAGAAGACACAAAAAGTTAATTTAACACTTAACAGCTTAGTTTCTTGGTTTGTTAATTTATTTTTTATTATTATTGTATTCTAATGTCTGGATGGTAATGTTTGTGTTGTTAAATGGCACAAGTGACATAATAAATTGTTACAAAACTTGTGTATTTTGTGTTATTCTGCCCATTCTGCTCATCATTAAAAAACAACTACTGAATTATAAACTCACAGACTTGGACATTGAAAACAGGGTACTATTTCTTAAGCGTCTTGTCCTGTATATGGTGTTTGATTTTTGAATAAATCCAGACAGAGTGGATTCCCAGAGCTCACTTGTTCCTCCCATACATTATAGTAGAAGCCTATACTGACTCACTGCTTTTTCCCTCCCTGCGATGCCATATATGTCACACTGTATCCCACTTACCCACTTCATCCCTGATTCTGGTGAGCTCCAGGGACAGTTCCCTCTCCTTCACAATGGCTCTCTCACTCTGAAATGCAAACACATGCAGCAGTGAACACCTCTGGGCTGCACAAATGGATGATTGGAAACACCTCCATTGCCACTGTAACCCTGTAAGTTAAACTAATGTAACAGTTTTGGCTATAATTTAAGCTGTTTAGTACAGCTGGTACAGGACAGGGTGACAGGATTAAATTAATATCACAGTGTTAATATAAGAGCATTTCTTGATATTGATATACATTCAGTTTGCTTGTTTCTATGACAAACCAGAGAAACATGAAGAGGAGAGAGGGTTGGAGATATTTTGAACCCAGAATGTTAGCAGGTAAATGTTCATTAAAGGATTATAGACCAAAATGATGTCCCTGCTACATATGTTTGTTTCTTTTACCATAAATGTTGTCCTCCCCACCTGGTTTGATGATATGCAATAAAGCAGCCTTAGATTCTATCGGTGCTTATAACTTGTAGGCCTTATAACAGCTCATTCAGGATATGTCCAATCAGATGGTGTAATTATTAGCAGTAACCACAAACCACAAACCACTGACAGGGTGTCTGAAGCCATGATTCATTGATAAACATGCCATTAAATCTTTGTGGTACCTTGGAACAGGATACTGGACAAAGTGTCAGAAGTTGCAGCTACAGTCTATGAAATGATCGAGGAACATGTGAGGAATGGTAACAACATAGTTTGTATCACTTCTATTCATTATAGACAAAATGTACATTACTTTCTCTGCAGCACAACAATTCGACATTAGCGTTTCATTTAATTCACCACCAATCATAATAGCAAAGGTTCTTACAAGAAGCAACAGTAAATGCTTCATGGCAACCTGTTAACTACAACATTTGTGAAACATTTTACAATGAAAAAGCCATCATATCCAATATTTGCACAGACTCTTCATGACACCCCCAGAGGAAGACTCACCACACAGTTAAGTGACTATTGATCACAACTCTAAACATGCAGACAGCCACACAGACTGTTGCTTGGAGATTAATCAGAGATCACAAAGCAGTGCTTACGAGAAACAAAGAAAGACACAGCCAGGGAGCAGTGGGTGAAATATGTATGAGATAGTATACAGTATGTCTCTGCAGTAATGATGTCACCCTCTAAGAGGTTTTACTTGGTACATACACTCATCATAGAGAGACTGCTGTGACCTCATGAGGGATGAAGGATGGTCTGTGGCTTTTTTTCATTTCTTCCTCTTCAGCTCCACCTCTGCTCCTACCCATTATTTCCCCAAATGCCCCCTACTTAGATCTCCAGGGACTTATGTGACATGAATTTTATGCTAATTTTAGTATCTGATATTCAGCCTTCACAAAAGCAACATTAACCATTTTTATGGCTGCAACTAATGATTGTTTCTGCTACAGATTACACCAATTGATTATTTTTGTGATTCTTTGATCAATTGTTAGGTCTGTAACATAAGAAAATAGTCAAAAAAGCTAATTACAATTAACCAGAGTCTAGGGTTTGATTGTCAACCCAATAATATTCTACAAAAACAATGATATAAAACAGACAAATGAACAAAATCCTCAAATTTGAGAAGCTAGAACCAGCTAAAGTTTTTCCTTGATAAATCACAAACAATGCATGGATTATGGATGCCAAAATGGATGTCTATCTCTTTCGAGCGACTACTTCGACAAATTACTTCAGCACTGTACATTTTACCTTCTGAAAAAGTATAAACATGACTTTTTGTAAGGGTACTCATTCTCAAGGAGATACTGTAATGAGTTAAATAACCTCTCCAAAGTCTGCACCCATGCAATCAGTCCTGTTTCAGTGAGGCCCTAAAAACCTTCCAATGTACAGCTGCTTTTTTGGTTGGACTTTTTGTCCTGAAGAGATTATGACTTTAATAAACACACAGGAAGCTACAACATAAATAAAACAAAACATATGATTTCTTGTAGAGAACTTCAGCAACATGAGTTAAAAAAGATATCCTATACAGTCAGTGGCATGTAATCCATCCATAATCCATAATTACACCAACACGCATACAGTAAGGACAAATTGTACACGGTAAAACAGAAAGACAATTGTAAGAAATATAGCAGCAGCAATAACATGTTATGTAATGTCCCTGCAAACTCTAAGAGAGTAGAAAGAGGGACAGTGCGACAGAAAAGCCTGTTTTGACTCAGCACAATCAAGCACAGCTTTACAGTCTCTCCACCAGTTCTGTCTCTAGGAAACAAGTGAATATAATGCTCATATAGACAGTCACACTCAGACCACCCCTCCGCTAAACACACACATGCGCACAACCACACATTTATAAAGGAATCCCCGGTGCTGAAACAAGCCTGCCGCCTTCAGAAGATACTGCTTTTACCGTTTGGTCCAGACAACGCAGAGGGAAGAAATGGATTCTACAGCAGCAATGGCCCATACTAGGCTAGCAGACAGCAGCATCCTTGAGCCGACTGGGAAGGCAGCAGTGACAGATTCGACCACCAGAAAGATGCAGAAAATGAGACAGAGGGGGAGGGAACCAAGCGAAGGAAGGACAGGGGAGGAGAGATTGGAAGACCGGAGCCTCACCTCGTTTCCTGCTTTGCGGCCGGCGTTTATCCCTGCTGGAACAAAGACTGCCAGCCCCAGCCCAGTTCTGCCTGCTGCCCTCCCCTAAACCTCCTCCAACACGCCCCGTATCACATTCACACGCATGGCAGGGAGCAGGACACACACACACACGTGTGGTATTTTGCATCTTTTAGAAAAAACAAAAGGAGTGGAGCAGGAGAAGATGGGGGAGGGAGATGATCAATAAGCGGCCAGTTATCTTCTCTGTTACTCAGCTCAGGGAAAATAGCTACATGCAGGTATTTCAATGCATACAGAACACACACATGCTTAATAGAAAATAATTTATTTTAGATAGCTCTAACTGAAACAATAATGTCCAAACTGCAGTACTGGATGCAATCCAATTACATAACATAACTTAATTAATATACAGTATAAAGCACTTCAAATATGGTGGTAGCATGGTGCTAGATTTCAAGGCAGAGGGAGGAAGTTAATAGAGCGAAGATCTGAGCCAAGCCTCAGCTATCACAGCATATCAAAGCACAAATACAATATCTTGGCCAACATCAGAAAAAACACTGCCATTTTGTCAAACAAAATGTAAGGAACATTTTAAAGGGTAGTCCTAATCTCATCTAAAGTTTGCAGATATATATCAGATGCACATATTTCAAAGTCTTCCCCTTGTCAGACCTTAGTGGGTATTCTGTCAGTGTCTGACAATCAGTCTCACTAAGCACAGTGAGTCCCAGGCAGGCACCTCTAATCTCATTAATCATCTCCCACTGTAGAGCAGAGCCCGTGGGTGGGGCTGGGATATAGATGAAATGAAAGCAGGGGATCAGGAAAGGGCAAGAAACATGCGGTTAATCCAGGTTTGAGAAGCAGAATACACTCAGTGTGCATCAGAAGCTGGACAATGGTACAGACACACAAACTGTTTTACTGACAAATCCTGTTGCTTCATGGTTATTCCCAACATATTCAAAAAGCAACAACAATCTGATTTTAAAGCAAGTGACTGGCTTTATGAACAAAGTAATGCTGACAACAAACGCCTGATGATGCAGGTGCCAGACTCATCACACAAGAGTCTGTTCACATGACGCATGTAATATTCAATACCATACTGCTGTTTTTGCCTATTACCTACAAATTGTGAAATACTTTTCAAAGCATTGGTTTATGTGGTTATATTTATTTGCCAACTTTAGTCATCCACTCTCATGAAAACCCACTAGAGATCTGAAACTTGCTTGAGATGGGCAATCCATCAACTTTAAATTGACTTTAAGTTATGTTACTGTTCCACAACAATACAAGGGCTGTTTTGAAAATGTATCCCTGCAGAACATCCAGCTTTTTAATACAAGAAAATGCATAAGCTAATTTATGAGAAATTAAAGTCAGGGAATACTTCTGGGATTTGTTACTTCATAACGTTACTTTATGAATGCAATAATCCCTAATCTTGGATGTCAGAGCAACTTTTACACAAAAGGGGATGTGACACCTGCTGCCTGCTTTGGGCTTTTAGGGGGATTTCAAAATGGAGACAAGACCATGTACGCTTACCTGTCAAACCTGCTGAGGTACCAGAGCTCTGCTGTAACCTACCTTGTGACAGAAGTGCTGCGTAGTGATGCTGAAAACATCCAGGCACAGGGAGGCCTTCTTTAACTGTGCCTGAAGGCTCTGCAGCTGCAGGGCCTGCTGCTCACAGCGTTCCCGCAGCTGCTGGATCAAAGCTCGGTCCAACTCTTGTGCCCTCTCAGTCCGAACAGCAACATGAACTGGTGCTGCCTGCCTGCGAACTATAGAAACAGAGAGCAGAAGGATGAACAATGTATTTTCACTCAGACTTAATGAAATGTTTTTTTATGTAAAAAATCTTAACACTTAATTTCCCAAGTAGATTGTATGTATAAGCAGTAATCAGTTTTCTTTGTAATCGCTGACACTTGCACCAGCCAAGGATTGAGAAGACTTTATAATGTATATATAAGGAGAGAACCAGAAGAGCAAAAATTACCAACAGGAATACTATTGTAACATTGATGATCGATCAACAGAAAATCAATCACTTTGATAGTCCAAGAATAAGTAATTTATCAAGGAAAATGCCAATTATTAGCTGCTTTCAGCTTCTCAAGTCTGAGGATTTGCTGTGTTTGTCTATTTTATATAATTGTAAACTCAGTCTTTGTATCTTGGATTAACAGTAATTCAGAAATATACTTCGGGTTCTGGAAACATATTTTCAAACTATTTTACTCCTCTTTATTACTTTTTGACAAATACTAAATAATTAATAGAAAATAACGGCAGCTAATCAATAATATTAATAATAGCACTCATTAGTTATAGTTACACCCCTAATAGCAATACCAAATAGCTGAGTTACACTGCAGACAATATTAGCAATTGGTTTACCCTCTCAGCCTACACACAAACAAATTAACTGCTTATTGGTTGGAACCTCAGTGGTTTATATCCTCCCGCAAGGACAAATAGTCTTTCCAATTTACTGTCACTCAAGTCTTCTCTCTGCTCAGAGCAATCAGCAGCAACATCCTCTCTCACCTCTAAACGCTTAATATGAGTGTATTGTCTGTGCAGAATCAAAACTTTTATCACCTGCACTGGATAACACCACCCAGCTGTTATTCTGTCTGTCAAAATGCTGACTTATTGTGTTAATCTGACCCAGCAGGATTGCTACCAAAGGAGCCATCCTAGCATTACAGCCGCTGTAGCTTGTTTCTATGGCAACAGCAGGCTGCCATGGGTCTTGTAATGAAGTGGAGAGAGAAAGAGAGTGAGAGAGAGAGAAAGAGAGCGAGACAGAAAGAGTGACTGTAAAATTTTAAAGATACAGTAGCTGAAGGTTTTGCACTACTAACTGCTGCTTTCTCCTTTTGTATTACTTTGGAACAAACCAAACACACAATATAATATATATATATATGTATACTGTGTGTGCATACAGTATGTGTTTACATGTACACACACATATGAACACACACACGGGCTTCAATGTGATATGCAAGACTTACCAGGCGACTGTGGCTTTGGCGAAACAACTGCAAATCTTTTAGGAGAGGACCTTGGTGGCATCGCTACCTCTATGTCCTTCTGCACCTCTCTCCTAGAGGCTGCGTTGCGAAGAAAAATGTTAATGTCTTTTATAAAGGCACGCATTTCAAATGTAAGAAATACACTTAATTATTGTTTTCATAAATACATTACATGTTAGTACATAATAAGGGGTGGAGAGTAACATTTGAGATATTTTAGTACTTTAGTCTTTTAGTCATGTCAAATTTATTTATATAGTACATTTAAAAACAACCTGAGTTGACCAAAGTGCTGTACAAATTAAAGTGAACGGCACAACAATAGCGAGTTAACAGTAGCAAAAAAGGCAAAATTTTAAGTAAAAGTTGATAAAACTACAAGGAATCAAATATGTACACAAAGAGAGAACATTTAAGTTAAAGCAAAAGGCTATTCCAAAACTTTGGAGCTGACACCACAAAGGCATGACTCCTCTTAACCCCTAGCCTCGATCGTGGAACAGTTAACAATGTAACAAATGTTCTGAGGATCGAAGAGACCTAGAGTTGAAGTACAGGCAGAAAAGTTCTGAAATGTACAGGGGTACGAGCCCATGTGTAACAAATAAAATAACCGTAAAATCAATCCTGCATTTGACACGTAGCCTGAATGAATTGAGTAGAAAAGATGTTTGAGACTGTGGGAGGTTTTGGAGGTGGTGGCAAAATATTTTGCTCTTGAAGCTTTGACAGATGGCTAATAATTTGCCAGACAGCCTTTTAGTATCTCAAATGAAACCTGTAGCCTATCTATTTACCATTTACGTTCTACCTTTTGACATATTTGCCTAAGAGCATAGGTGAGATTTGTCTCTAGGTTTTCTGTGAGTCCAAGATGTCCCCACAGAGGACAAAATTGTTATTTTTTACTCTATCACTTTAACTTATTTGACAGTTAACAAGACTAATGAAAAACATAAGTCTATAAATTATGATCTATTTGTATGGATTAACCTATTGTCTATGGAGGCAAAGTAGATAAAATTAAATTCACCTTGACCTGCTACAGCATTAAAATGCTGCTTCTGTAATAACAATCCAGTAATACATTGTATAATGACAGGGTCTTTTCTGTATAATGAGTACTTTTACTTTTGATCATTTTGGTACATTTGCTGATAATCATAATAACATGACATAAATATGAAAAATATGGTTATTTTTTTTTACTTTTTTCATAATCTTTCGCTTCTGAGCAATCTGAGAAGGGTAAATTAATCTTTGGTTAAAAGTTCACAACCAAAATGTTGGGAACTGCTGGTGTAAACCACATGTAAATAAAACTGTGAGGTACAGTGTGGTAGAGTGACCACTAGCTGGAGTTGCTGCTCCACTTGTTCACACAGTTTGTGTTGCAGGAAGCTGAAGCTGCTCCTGGCTCACACAGAAATACACTCTGTGACCACTGGATGGTGTTGATACTCCACATTCACTGCAAAAGATGCCAATACACAAGGTGCACCAAGGAACAACAAAGACGTCTACATCAGCTGAGGGTATATCCATGGTACTGTATTACTGCTGTGATGCAATACTAAGCAACAGTTAAAACGCATTACAGCAGGACTCAGTTTGAGGTGAATTATTTTTTTATTCTACATTCCTTGTTCTTCAAATCTTAAATCACATTTCCCATGGGGAAAGAGAAATGAACAGTAGATGTTATGGGCCTGTCAAGGGGCACACCAAGTCATAGTGCTTCAGCCCTGCTTTGTGCAGAAATTTCTTTACATCATAAAATAGCCGTGATAAGAACTATGTAGCTACTGAAATAAAAGAAAATTGTTTCCAGCTCACCTTCACATCCATCTAGCTTTTAGAGGCTTTTTGCTAAATACAGGAAAACCCATTTGGTAGATGATTCCTGTTTTTATGTTTAAAGTAATTTCAGAAATTCTTGTGCTGAAGGACTACATAAGTATTTTAACTGATTACATATGAAGACCTTGTGGTTGAAATGTTGGAATCTTTTGGCAATTAGACCAATGATGTTTGCCTTGTGGCCAGAATTTCACATTTTTATATTTAGAGGAAATAACATACAAGTTACCTTTTAAGGGGACTATTTTCTGTGTTTATAATACAATATGCATTTTACAACCAGATGAGAAAGGTGAGATGTCATAAAAAAAATGATAAAAAATTCATACAAATCTGAGCGTCTCATATGTAAATGAGTCGACTGAAGTAGCCAATGTTTTGGCCAGTCTAATTTTGGACCAAGTAGTACAATGAAATTTCTAGAAAGACTCATACAGAATGCAGGTCCTGTTACACACAGTATACCAGCTCCATTATGCCTCTAAGTGACAACTTCAGCATCCATAACAGTGAAAAATAACACTCTGAGAATTTCTGTGAAATAGATGCTGAAGGGGAAACTGTGCTATCATTACAGGGCCAGGAGTTTCCACTGACTCTTACTGAGGAACGATTACCAACATATCAAAATGAGGGCTATATATAAAACAGTTGTCATGAGCTGCTTGAGTGCTGACAGCAATTTCCATGTACATTCCAATGCTTAGCTGCCACCTCCCTCTAACACCCCTGCTAGCACACACTCACACATCCAATCTCATGAGTCATGTGATCACCAGACAGAGTGACCTTGAACTGTTTAGGACAAGCATGTTATATCTGGAGATAGCGCCAACACCACATACACATGCACAGTAAAACTGAGCCCGGGACCCTTTTTTCCAACAGTTTCCAATGAATGAGTGTTGCAGGGATGTACCAAGTGGGGAGCAGCGCTGCGGCGGGAGACTGCGGCGCTGGAGGCTAGGGGCATTGGGAGGCTGAGTCCGGCTGTGAGCATGGGAGGCTTCACCGGGGGGCGCTGTGGCTTTGTGAAGAGGTGTGTCGTCGCTGCCACTGCCAGAATCTGCACAGCAGGATGGATTTCAGAGAACAGAAAAACGTAGTCGGTGATTGTCAAAACTTTCAAAGGTCATTATTTGTATGAGCGAGTTTAACGCTAAATTTTGAATCCATTTTTATCATTTGTACATTTACAGTGCCATCACTGCAGTGTAAAAACATCACCTTATACATTAAAAAACATAGGCCCTATATTTTGTTCATAGCACACCTGCCAGTGACAGCGCTGTGGATCACCTCTCAGTGAGATTTACCATATTGTATTTCATAAGAGCAGATCACCGTCTTTCCTTGGAGAGTAATTTTCTAAACTGCAGAAATTCACTACTAGCAAAAAAAAAGCTGAATGCTGCAAACATCTTAATTATTCATAACAGCTGTTATTATGCCTCTAGCTTTCTGTGGATATGAAAGGCTTTGATTTGTAGACAAGATTAGGCGGTAGCAAGGAATAGTCCAACAGAAAAACATCACCAAGAACAAATATTCCCTCCATACAACCAGGAAGATCCGCACTGTTGTTTTACATTGTCACTGTTGTTTTGTTTTATAAAATTTCCTCAGGATAAACCCTTAACTATCTCTGGATTCCAGCACTATATAGAAAATTCAGCATTTATGTTTTACTTTGTTAGTGAAGATTGCTTCAGTTACTCATTACTACAGCGAGGCAGCATTTAGTGTCTATTGTCTGGAACAGCCTGCCAGAGGAGCTGAGAGCATCACAATCTCTTTACAAGAAATCTTAAGACATACCCTATTAGCTTAGCATTTGCTAATCCATAATATTTTAAACTACCTTCTTCTACTGTGCCACACTGGTCTCTCTGTTCTACCATGTCTCTTATTATGTTATAATTTCCTTATATTACCGTTTATATCATTGTGTTGTTGTATTTCACTGTATTGTTAAGCACCTTGTATTGCAATCTTGGCGGAAATATTCAGCTACTCTGAAGGTAACTCAGCACTCTCAAAGAGGAAAGAAGGACAGGTTTGTGCCCTTGAATTAAAATATCGTTTTTCTGATTTGAGAATTAATATGTCAGAGGATGGTTCAAGGTGCCTTGAATCACAGATGCAACCACCCAACAAGCTGTAGTAAAATATACAACATTATGGTAGATAGCACAATAAATTCAGATTAGAAAGAGAACATGAATCTTTGACATCAAAATGCCCATGGCCTGCATGAAACCTCCGGTGGGACTCTCCTCACTGCAACAGAGTCTGAATTCCCCCAGAAGAGTCAGCAGATGCTTCTTTTTTTTTTTTTTTCCCCAAAGGCATCTTACTGAAATGGAGGCTGAGCCAGGAAACGGACTGGCTGATAGGAGACGGCTGGAGGCTGACTCACACTGCTAAATGCTTGTTTCTAGCCTACATGTAGTGTGCAAATCCGTCCCCTGCTGTAAGCGTCCTCTGATCAGTGTTACACCAGCAAGATCAGAAAGGACTCTAGTCTGCTGGTAACTAATTCACAATTAGTGAGAAAGAACAGGTTAAAATATAATAATAATAATAATAATAATAATAAGTTTATCTTTATTATATCTATTGAATCTATTTCTTTATAATTCTACTTTATCTAAATTAGAATCTTCTCAATTCAACTGTCTAGCCTCTGTTGTAAATTTTGGACATGCACAAATTCACTCAGATATCATAGGAATAAGATGGGTTATTTGTCATTTTTTCTTTTAGTCAGATTAGTTTGGTGACACCAGTGTGTGCTCTGTTATGTTGTACACAAAATCCCTCAAGATACATTTTATGCAACAAATGTTGCATAAAATGTGTTTTACAAGTGTTTAACTGAACTGGGAATAATACCGTACAGCAAAACTGAAATTTGTTTGCTGTTACGCCTCACAGGTTTTGCCTCCTCTTTAGAAGATGCACTAAAAAACAAAACAGTGGTTTCAGTCACCAACAGTCTTTGAAAAACAATTGTGTCTGGTGGTGTTTTTTTCCTGCAATACATGGCAGGGATTGATCCACAGGAAAAGAGCCTTATTATTCATAACATGCCACAGAGAAGTGTGCTGCTTCAACTGCTCTGAAGTCTCACAGCAGCCTCTTAAACGTGTCCTGGAAATGGTCTACACAAAGCATAAAGTTGGATTATAAAGTATATAGTAAGTAGTAACTATACCATGTCCATAAAATAGGGATCAACGTGACAGTCAAGTTGCTTGTTTTATCTGACCAACATTCCAAAATGCAAATATACTCACTTAGAAAACAGAGAAAAACAGCAATTGAGAAGCATTTGAGCATTTTTGCTTGACAAACAACTTATATGAAAAATCTTCTGTAAACCAACTACTTGATTATAATTGTTTTACCACTAATACAGAATGTCTTTCAAAACATCTTCAGGGCCATTTGAACATCTAGCCACTCTGAGTACAACTGACATACACACTGTAGCTCCAAGCACACAGAATTTAACGCTTGTATCTTGCCATCCAAGCAGCACACAGTTAACCAGACAGATGAATTTGATATGTCACCAGCGTTCTGATGTTCATTAAGGAATCCTCTAATCTGAGAGGATGTACTCACTTCCAGTCACAACATTTTGCTGGAGTGCATCCCCAGTGAATGTGGCTACATTCAAGGCATAAGGTGGCATACTAATAGAGCAGTGCTGTCTGAGCCAACAGCCTGAAGGGAGACACTGCTATGCAAGCTGCCAGTCATTTATATATGCTGCCTGAGCTACTCCCAAGCATTTTACTATCTGGTAGACACCCATCTATTCACTACAGCACAAATAGATTTTTGTTTACAATTAGTTTTTCTTTTGCTGATAGGAACACAGCAAATTTGCAATTGGCTTATACATTTAACAACACAGGGAAGCTAACAAAGACAACAATGGCAATAAAAAACACAGTAGGCCAGACTTACATGACCGCAGATAATCATCTTGAGCTGTTTTCTGAAGAATCAGTGTTAAAAATGGTACAAAATAACCCAGTAAAGTGTACATTGGAGCCTTTTAGGAGAGACACTGAAGCCAAAAGAAAGACCATTATCTGGCTTGACTGTAGTGAAAGTTTGAGGAGGAGATCCACAGGCAAAAAGAGGCTGGTCAGAGATGTCTGGGTAAAAACAGCTTCACAGATTATTCTGTCATACCACACCCTGGCACTCTCTTTTTGACAGACATTGCAGCCGCCGGCACCACTTTTTAATTTCAGTGATTATAAATAGGGAAGAAGACATTGCTGCTGACATGTGAAGCAGTTACTGCGTTTGATGCTGGGGAACACACCCTGCATGAGACAACAGCTGTTTTCTTTATTTTTTCCCCAGTCTGAGGACACTGCCTGCACCAGCAGCTCAAGGAAGGGTCTGAATCCAGCAGGTCAGAATGAGTGGTGAGCAGGGAAAGGCAAGAGTCAGCTGTCTAAGACTGGAGTAAATGTAGTGACACTTGAGGGAGGACAGCATTAACCCATCGTCGAATCGGCCAATCAGCAGTCAGTACAAATACCAAACTAACCAATCTTAAAAAATACAAAATGGTCCAGCGTACACTATTAGATAACTGATTTTGGCAATCAGCATATCTGGTCATGTCTATTTTGGGTGGTTTGAATAAATTAATTGAATCTTGGATTGACTCAGTTTGACTCCATTACTTGGTGATTATAAAAATGCAGGAGAGGAAAAAAATGGGATTCTATGCGTTTTTCACACAGTGGTTGGTTTGAGTCAGCACTATGAAAAAAATTACTGCATCACCTCCACGCTGGAACAAAACTCAGATACACTGCTCATATTCAGTAAATGCTTTCTCTGTAATACATTAAAAACAAAAGTCTCAACTGACAACTTCTCAGCTTATTCCAACACAGTTTCTATATCTCTATTACACACACAGTTAATCAGATTATCAACTGAATTGCACAAGCATACACTTGTCTAAATAAAGGCTACAGGAAGCTTATGAGAGGTGGCATTGGACTGAGCACCACAATTTGATCCAGATAAAATGCTGCAGTATGTAAGTAGAGGGGTGACAGCAGAGGGAGGAGAGTGACTTAAAGATGACTTCATTAAAGCTCTTGTGGTGCAGCAGCTTTCAGCGCCTACTTGTAATAAATGAATGAAAAATAAAAGGAAATTAATGGCTGTTACTATAGTAACTGAGGACAGTAGGGGCATCCACAACTAGTGGTGAAATAATAAGATGTAAATGTAATAAAACATATCCTTTTAAATCAGACAGGGAACTGTCTGACTCAGGTCTGGGATTAGTAAAAACAGTAAAACTGTATAACTTCAATTCATATGAAATGCTTCACTCACGGTGAGAAGTTCGGCAGGGATCACTGTGACTGCTGTCATTAGACTGGTTGCTGGACACAGACGAGACACTGGAGCTCCGGACGAAGCCGAAGGAGGCCAGACGGGCAGCTGGTAGGGCGGAGAAGCCTGGAGGACGCAGACCAGACTGGCCTGGTTTGATCAGGAGACTCTTAGGGGTGGTTTCTGGACCTCTTTCTCCTGACCTCTTTTGCTCTCCAAGACCTTTTGAGATAATATTACAAATAAAGAGCGTAGAGGTAAGAGAAAGAGGTAAGAAATATAATCTTATAAAATCCAATCTTTGAATTTAGATACTACAAATTACATAACAATTGGCAAATGAAAAAAAATAAAATCATGATTTACTGTGATACAAATGATTGCACAAGATTTACTGGAAGGGGCTATGTAGGGAACACACTGCGAATTACACTACTAATACACTCATGGGATTTGCAGGAAAAAAATGTCTGCTCTGAAGAGTAAAAAAAATAAAATATTCATGTAAAAAAGAATAATCTCATGCAGCTAAAAAGACGACACACATAGATGAAAACATATGACTACTTCCATTCAGTGATGAAATAGCACATAAATAAGAGGGCACCATATGTGGAAGCAGAGTAGATTATGAATTGACAATGTGAGCAGGTAAGAAATATGCAGTGCAAGTTAGTAGGACGAGTGAGTCACATTGCAATGAAACACTTTGCACTTCAAAGAGTTTAGGTGCCAAAAGGCAAGCCTCATCCATATGCATGACAGGAAAAAAATAATCGGTAAATCATTCAGCAAGCCGAAGAACATAACTTTTCTGCAGCTAGATGTGCACAGAATAATGACGTATGCATAGAATTGAGAAAGCTTTAATAAAATTATTTCACCACAATGGTCAAAATGGTTTAGTATGCAGCATGTCAAATATGCTCTTGTGTTCTCTTCTTAAGAAAAGAAAAAGTTTTTTGAATATTTTTATGAATTCTGGTAAATAAAAATAAATAAATAAATCATACCTAGCATGTGCTGACACCACATGTACATTTTAACATTGAAAAAGTAAAAAAAACATTATTATGCCAGCAGATCACCATCTCACCTGCAGGGTCCTGGCAGCCTTGGGTTGACACTCCGGCTGCAGCATGGCATGGGGCCATGGCTGACCTTTGACCTGTCTGCTGAACTCTTGTCCTGGCTGCAGGCTGCCTGGTGACCGCCCCTAACCCCAGCTGAGGCCTCAGAGCTCTCGGTGAGCGGTATACACTGCCTCCTTCTTGTGAAACATGCTGGAGGACATTACCAATACAAGCCAATCACTGTCTATCACAATAAATATTTCAACTGGGCAATAAGATTACATAATATAGTTTGCTTATGGAGTGTAAAGGTAAACTAGATTCTTTCTCTTATAACTACATTAAGCATGGTCATTTCTTCTAATGGTTACACCCATATTGTGTGCACCCTATTCAGAAAGTGAGTCCGCAACAGCAAAGAGCACCCTGTCACTTACAGACAAGTGCTGCATCCCAGGAAATGTGGCCACACCAATATTAATTCTTAGCCCCCTGCAAGAAGACTCCGAGAATAGTCTTAGCTTAGATGCTATTACACTGTATACAGACCACGTGTCTTTACATTTAGGAGGTCAGAACAGCTTCATATATTAAATCTTCAATTTAATAAAACAACTCTCTTCATTCTGTTGCTGTTTGAGGTGGCCATGATTGATCCTGTTTTTATTTGTTTTTTCTTTTTTATTTGTGCAAAGGCGTATGCTCTCAAAAATGTTATTTAAATAACCATTTGTTGTCAAGGTTTGAAACACAGGATGCACATAGGTGAAATTGCCCATTTTCCTCCTTGCATTAGCAGTTAAAACTTTTGCATTACTCAGATATTTTGCTATTTTGCACCACCAGCATGTTCCTGCACTTCTTTAGGATCAAGCACTAATGGTATGCAGTAGTGTCATGTGAGCATATCAAATCAAAAGACTATTTCTCACCTCTTGGAGATATTTCTCAGGTATATCCTCATGAAAATTATCCAACTTCCCACTTTGCCTTTGAGGGATGGTGCTGCTTGGAGGTTTCACCACAGCCACAGCCATGCTTGGAGAATAGTACCCTGCCTTCTGCATCTCCTGTCGATATTTGTCAAACAACAGGTTAGAGGAACATAGCACCGGTGTGGATTTAGGTTGAGAACCAACCATCGGATCTTTATGAGCTGGCGGGCTAGAGTAAGAAGACAGTCTTAGTGTGGAGGCTTCGACTGGAGCATCAGTCACTTCTGGTTTTGCTTGAGTATTCTTTCGAACATATGTGATGATTTTTGGTCGGATATTTTTAGGCTTCTGGGTAGGAGAAGACCTCCTGGGTTCAGGCTCTTTCTGCTGAGAAATAAGTGGTTTGGGGATGCCACTGCTCAAACTAGTCTTACCTGGTGGTTTGACTGTTTGACCTAGACCTCTCTTAGGGGAGTTACTGCGCTCCGAGCTGAGTGCCCGGATACCCTGGACCTTGGCTGGAGAACCAGGTGGCCGTCTCTTGGGCGAACAGGAGGTTGTTTTAGGGGAAGTAGGTGTTGCTGGTCGACTAGGGCTTCCCCATGGCTTCCTCCTCTCCAGGCTTAGAGAACTGGAGGTGACCATGTTCTCGAAAGAGCCCTGTTTTTTTAAGCTGTTATCAAAAGACAGCTGCTTCTTTAAAGTATTGTCAAATGATGGCTGCTTTTTAAAACTCTTGTCAAAAGAGGTTTGTTTTTTCAGCGTGTTATCAAATGATCCTTGTTTCTTTATGGCTTTGGATTCATTTGAAGACGGAGTCCCCTTTGTACCAGTTTTGTGTGGGCTATAGTTTGCATTAGGGGCCTCGTCAGCTTGTGTGCTTTTATCTATTTTAGTGTTGCTTTCTTCATGTGATTTTTTTGCAGCGGGTAAACCAGTATATAAACCTTGTTCACAATCTCGCTCTGAAATTGTATTCTCTGCTTTATTTATCTGATTATTGTTCTTCCTGTGCTCATCAGTGACACCCTTATGTGGAACATTGCTTTGTGCATGTGATACCACGTCTACCAACTGAACTGTTGCATTCAAATTCATGTCCACATCTTTCCAGTGTATTGTGCTTTTTCCAGAGGGGATGGAGGGATGATCAGCTCTTTGAGAGGACTTGCCTCTCTCTGTCGTCTGGGTCCTGCCAGTAGTGTCCATAGCAGCGTCCATGCTTGAATTGGTGGACAAACAGGACACAAAGGCATCTGTTTCTGAACTTAACTCAGTCCCGGATGCCCCTCTGCTCTCAAAGACATTTCTGGAGGATTCCTGCTCACTGGCGCTATGCAAAATAGACTTTCTCTCTTCCCTGCTCCTTTTACCTGTTGCCTGTTCTACTGATGCTTTGCTGCATGCTGAAGGTCGTTCTTCTTGAAGCTCCTTCCGGTCTGCAAGCCCGACAAAGTCCTCTCCCTCCCGAACCAGGTAGGCCTCCAGCTCCTGGCACTCCAGCATCTCAAACTCAGCCAGCTCAGGGTCATCACACTGTGAGTCTGTACCCCAGATAATGACTTTGTCCTGCTTTGCTGTTTCAATCATCAACCCCGACAGAGTGCCAGTATCACCTGTCCTCCCACCATCCTCTGTTTGGATTTTATTGGCGTTGGCATCGCCATCAGCCAGCACGCCACCCTGCTGGTTGTTATTCCGTAGCTCCCCCTCACTGAAGGGCTCTCCTCGCTCACACATTTGGGAAACAGGTCTGAGTTAACAGCGCCCTCAAAAGCACTTTAAAAATCAATCAGCCATGGCATCTATTCCGAAAAAGTCTGTCTACCGATCAAAGAGTCTCAGTGGCACAGCAGGAGCCTAGAACGGATTTTCACATTTCGTTCCAGTGTGCCAGTAATCAGAATGTTGAATATCACGTCTAATTTGGAAGATGGCTCTTCACGACATCTGGAGTCCTTATCCTATAAAAAACAGAAGATAACAAATAAAAAGATCAACAAAATGACAGATGACTTGATAAGAAAGTATTTAACACCTATTAGCACTTGAGTCCATAACTGCAGTATTTACAGTTGCAGTATACAGCCTGCTTCAGTCTATCATTATGAAATGATGAAATATTTGTTTTCCAGGCATGAAACATGCTATGCTTGAGCCTTGAATGAATTATTGACACAGGGGCTCCCAATTTTTTAGCAGCACCCCTGTGAAAAGAACAGAACATCATCTTTGTTGTTGTTGTTCTATCAAAGAGAAGTTTTAAAAAATGGAAATACCATTAAGAAATATCAATGACTTCTCACTAATCTGAAGTGTATATTAAGGAATGTAACTGAATTCTTTAAACAACTAATAAAATAACATATTCTGTAGAATATATCAGATCACTGAGAACAATGTAACAGGTTCTCAGATCAGTGTGACAGAATGTGATCCAGTTTCAGAAGTCATCCATGAATCTATAAATGCAAACAAAACTTAAAACTAGGACATACCATACTAGTGGTTTGTTATTTGTCAAAATTCTCTTCACTACGTTCAATTTTCTTCACTGACTGAAAGCTGACCGATTTTAACAGGAGAATACCATAAGGTAGGCTTTTAACAAAGACACTTTTTCAGCTTTTCAGTGTAGTTTCTGAGATTGTCTCCTTAAAACCGTAAATATTCTCAGGATACAAGCAACTTAAAGATAATTTACATTCAGCGGCAACTGTTATTTCCTGCAATCCCTAACATACTGCCTATATCTGCATTTGAGATCATTTTTAATCAGATCAATAAAAAACCTCTGCAAACAGAATGCACCAAATGAAATGATCTCTGCACACCAGAGGCCATGAGGAACTTGTTAAAAGACAAAATTATACTGATGTGTGACTCTAAGGGAAAAAATGTGTCAGTACCATGTGGAACTGACAACACTTGCTGAAATTATTATAGGGGGGACTTATCAAGCTTAAGCCGGTGAAATAAATGTAGGGTTACTGTACACATGCTACCACAGACTAGCTCTTAATTACTGATTTAAATAGGATTTATTTATAAATTGCTATAAAGACTCAGTTATTATTAGCAGCGAGCAGGTTAGTTCACTTGTTCTGATTTATAGAGTCTCTGATTAGGCCTATACTGTGAATTGAACGAAATCAGTGGTACTCCATCTCGGCTGTTCCCCCTTCATGTCTTCAGCGCATAATAAAAGATGTCTGCATTTGACCTACTTCCTGAGTGCATGTTTATACAGCACAGAGAGCTTTAACAGACCCTCTGATCTGGTTGTCAGGTTCTGTTAAGTACCATAAATTAACCTCCAAGTAAAAAAAAAATAACACTTTTATTCCACTTAAGCAGTCAGAACTGTTAAAAAGAGTCTTGATAGTTTTTGTTGTCACAAGGAACAAAAACAGAAGGACATAATATATATTTTACTTCAGGAATGCAGTGGTACTTGTTGCTAAGAGATGTCACCAGAACTGAAAATGAGAGAGCTGTTGTGTGATGATAGAGTTTGCTGCATGTTTAGAAGAAGGAGGGGAAATACTATATAAATACAGTATATAGACTGCTACTTTCACTTTTATATTTCTGAAAGGACACTTGAAAAGAAGAGGCAAAGACAGAAGCATCTGTTTGAAGTACAGGCACAATACACAACACTAAATGCTGTCTCAGCACCTGCACTGCAGAACAGAGACCAATGAAACAGATTCCCTTACACCTGCATCTCCCCCACCTCACTGTCAAGTCTCAAACAGCACTGTACGGTTACTGCAACACAAACTCTCTCTGGGTAACCAAACAACAGATGAAGCTCCAATAAAGATTCTTACATATAGCATGTTGCCTGACAAGCATGACAAGAGATGACAAATTGGATAAACAAAGTCTTGTTTTAAGAGAGAAGCTGCAATCTGGTAAGGGGATTGTTTCTGCTGCAGCCATAATTGCTTCTGCATCCCTTACAGTTATTTTCAAATTAATTCAGTGGAGCCCACTGTACATACACAACAGTACTGTACATCATATGACACTTAGAGAAAATGGATGATGGATATGATTTAACTAATTTTGGAAGTTTGAGACTGGGCTTTCAAAGGGAAGATAAAAATAACAAGGATACAATGAACAACTGGGGGATAGATGGTCAGTTGTAGAGTTGTAGAGTAGAACAAATTACACCAAAATCTGTTTTACCCTACCTGTCCTACTTTTGTGAGTTAAATTAACATTGCTCTTACTGTGGATTTAATGATTTTCTGCTTCAGTGTCCTGACCCATGCTGGATGAAATAAAAGTATTACAGAGATAATTAAACTTTTTAATTCATTTCAACCTCTTTCTCTTCAAAATTCTCTGGAGAGCCGAGTGTCACAGTCAAGGCAAGAAAGAGCAGGATACTGCTAGTCCTATTGACTGAGAGAGGGCAGTGCAGGTACCCTAAGTGACTGAAGTAGTATTCTTTACTTCCTTTACCACCCCATTTGCCATGTCCACCTACATGGCACATACTGTTCTACTATACATGCAGGCTATCAGTATGTCAGGCTCATCCCTGCACTGGCCCTGTCACTTTCATCCCTTTGTTTTTTTCCTTTTTTAATTTACGATCCCTGGTTGTTTTTCTCTCATGTTTTTCCTGCTGCTGCAACAGCTAATGTTCCTTCGGTAACGCCGTTACTGCACGAGGAAGAATGAGGAAATGTATACCCCAAAAACATGCCTCCCTGAGCATGTTTCCCCATCCCCCCTTTGTACGGCAACTCACCCTGCCACCTACCTCCTGATATGCAACATGATGGCAAGACCTTTATCAGGGCCTCATATGAAAGCTGTGCATCTTTGCACTCGTGTGTGTCTGCTCAATCAACTTGTTTTTCTCAGTGAAACAGCAGCTCCTTCAGTTTTAGCACTCATATATCTGAAGCAGAGCACAGATCAAGACCTTCAATTGTCCACCAAGCTTCACTTGATGCTTAAACTGGAATCCTCATAAAATATTGAGGATGGATGAAAATGGAGGCATTGCTCTCCCTCTCATTTTAACGCTTCAGTGGCCCAGACTTCTTTGTGTAACCAACCAAAGCTCACAGACGATTTTCTGTTGTTGTGACTTAAGCAAAATGGAACGTATGTGCCTCTAAGGCCTAAAAGCGATGGCACACTAGGTGCAGAAGAAACATACATGCTGGAATAACCTTAATGTGACATGCAAAGGTGAATCTCCCCTATGTTGGCTATATGCACAACTATGTAATCTCAATATTTTCAAGTTAAATTAGTATAATCACCAAGCTTTCACAGATAATTGAGACCTCAGTGTTGTGTCTGTACTTCATTGCCACATCTTACATAATGTAACAAATATCAGGCATTTTGGATGACTGTGGTCACTCAAATCTCACCAGCAGAAATCTGTCACTTTACCATTACTGATGCTCATCTATTAAGCTTATGCTGCCATGTTCTTCATTTTATAGTTTCTAAATATATAGTGTATCTACACACATGACCCCAAGACAGGAAGAAAAGAGGAGGCTTTGTTGCTTTTAGGACAGACACTGAAGCACAAATAGAGTTTAAAGAACACAATCCAGGGTCTGACCCCACTACACACCCACAAACGCACAGTCTGGGGTGAGCCCACATAGCAAGGTTACGTTTTTTATATCTTCACGGTATGCAACAGCTACATTGGAATTTGCACTCCTGGAAATAATCAGCCAATGACTAGAAAATAACGTTAATACAAACACCACCAACATCACCATTATCCGCATTCCCTCCAGCAGACGCAGCAGTGTCAATAAATCCAATTATCACTGCCTATGCGAGACTGAGAGGGAGAGACACAGAAAACACCCACTGTCCCCGGTGTGAAATGTTATTCCTTACCGTTCAGAGTCAGGTAATCCGCTGGAGAAGAGCACCACAGTGAAGTGAAGAAGAAGCAGGCAGCTCGAGCCGTGATGAAGAGTCTGCAGCATCGCTGGTAAACAGGGAGGAGAGGAGAAGAGAGGAGAGAGGAGACTCAACGCCCATGTCAACACGGGCTCAGGTCGCCCCCTGCAGGTGAAATCATCTATTTATTTTCCCTTTATTAATTATTTCGAGCTACATGCAGTAACACAGTGGCATTCGACCGGGTATACAACAAAAAAAGTGGCCCACAACAAACAAAAACATGAATAAAGATAGTGTATCCAACTTTATTTCTAGATAGACACGAGCTTTCTTTGTATCATACACACCGTATTGTATTTTGTGCACACAATTCCATTATTATTAATAGTAATAGTAGTAGTAGTATTGGTAGTTATATCTGGAATCTGGAAAACTAAACATTTATACACTATGCTTTTCATTCAAACTTTTTTGTCAAATACATTTTCATGACGTATAAATAAATAAGAAATCATACTGAAATATACTACTTGAAATAGTGGGAAAACACACATAAAACAATTGGCTTTGTCATGCGAACCATGTATGTAGCCTCGATAATTTCTCCTAAAATCAAAGACAATGTCTGCGGCTTTAACTTTCAGCATTATTTATTTACAACAGAAAAAAAATACCACAACTCACATCAAGACAACACATGCTGAACAGCTGACCTTCACCACACTGATACACTGTAAATTAGCAGTACTATAAAGTTGAACTAGCTTTACATAAACTATTGGAACCATTATTGGTTTCATTAGCAGTTGCCTCATTCCACATTTGGGTCTTTCCCCTGTATTCCTGTTACCTTAATTACTTGCACGAGACGCGGCATGAAGCCTCACCTGAGTTTTAATGTAACTACAGCATCCATAACAAAAGCTTATTTACTTGAAATAATGCTTGATAAACAATTTTACAGATAAAAGCTGCCGGGTGGTATGGTTAGAGGCAAGTGAAAGTTATAATATGGGCAGTAACCTCAAATCTACAAAATCAAAACTGTACACAAACAAAAGACAAAATGTCTAAACAGGTAATAATGCATGTGACTTTATAATAAAACAAAACTTATGTGATGCACCACCATATCGAACATCTCCCAGTTTAAATAATAGCTATTTAAAAAAACAAGCTAGTGGACAGAAACACTTTCTGCAGCGGGATTACAATGCTGCTTCAATGTCTTGACATTCAGGTACATAAACTGTGTTTATTTACGACGTAGTACTAGTATTTTAAACTTTACTCAGTGTTGGGCAAGCTACTTGGAAAATGTAGTGAGCTAAGCTACTAGTTACTCTACATTAAATGAAGCTTCACTACACAGAAACTACCCTTCTAAGCTTCTTGGCGGCCCAATTTACCTTAACCCACTGAGGTAAAATGGGCCATCGTCTGTGTGTGTGTGTACACACACACACTCACCTTGACCCCCTTGTAGGGCCTAAATAATTATATTTTATTACATAATTTCAACACAAAATTATTCAAAACATTAATTTTTAATCATAAAAATACATGGAAAAGGCATATATGGTATTGTATTATTGTCCCAAACGATTTACCAAAAAGTGGCCCAATTTAGCCGATATCACCCTGATAGCCTAGTTTATACTGAACTAACTTTATTCCACAGTAGCAATAGAAGAAAGACTAAAAACCTGCTCCAAGGAGAGAGAGAGAGAGAGATCTCCTCTCATGGAAACAAGTTTCTGCCACTACATATCAAAGTTTCCTCCTCACTAGAGGAAGAGGTTTCCAGGCTGGACCCTGATCCTTCTCCAAAGAGGTGTTAAAGTAACTATCACAATAGAAAGTAAACTCAATCGCGCGTGTCTTTATTCCCCTGCAGCAAAGTCGCAGGTATCAGCCCGTGGATCGGCACGTGATGTCGCCGTCACACGCTTCTGCCGGCTGCACAAACAGGTCCGTGTGTGGCGGTGGTGTCACTTACTGATCCTTCAGAAAATGTAGCGTTTGTGGAAGCTACCGCGCTACTCGGCCAATAGAAAAGCTTCGTTACTGAAAAGCTATTTGATTCAGAAAATAGCGACGCTACCACAAATCTACTGAGAAATGTAGTTAAACTTTTAACGGCGCTATTTGTAGCGACGCTACTGCCCAACACTGACTTTACGGTCATTGTTTTCAGCTTTACAGGCTACTTTAATGTCATTATTAGAAAAATCTACAACAACTCTGTGGCAACATTGTTTTGTCTCTGCCTTCAGGTTACATCAATAGTTTGTTTAAATGGAACATAAAGAGCAAAAACTATTTCATCAATGTTCATTTTTAAAAAGGGAGTCACATAGGCTAGATCTCTCACGCTCAGATTTTAGCTGCCCTGGGAAACTGCACATACAATGAGCTGTCGCTTCTATAAAGATTAAATGTCTGACTGGCAGAGTCACTTTCAGATATATCACTGTTTTAGGTACACAATTAGTGTTGGCACAGTCTGTTTCTGAAAATACAGTAATGACCTTTGGCTTTTCAAAATGAAAGCAAGAAAAACAACAGATCTTTAACCCTATAGAAACTGCAGTTGTTCAATTATCACCTGATCCTATCACCTTATTGTACTTCATCCCATTCAGATGTATGTAAACTTAAGTGAAAATGGACTTCTAAGGTGAAATTTCTCAGACTATAAATAGCCTATAAACTTGTCAAAATCCAAAGGGTGCATTACATAGACAATATACCATGTTGTGGTTGCAGCCCGGCTGACAGTGACTGTCCTGTTTATTTCTCCTTTTTACTACCATTCTGTTTTCCCGTGTTTTGCCGGCCTCTCTGTCTCTCCTCTGCTCCCCCTGCTTGTGTTCTTCCTCTCTCTCTCCGCTCCTGAGCCCAACGATCAACACCTGCACCTCATCAGCAGCCTCATCGCTCCATCTCTGCCAGTATATCAACCCCGGTTCTCCACACAATCGCCGCTTGATCGTCGTTGCTCCTGACCTGTTTCTACTGCTTAACTCAAGCTCCTGAGAATCCTACAAGATCTATCCTGTTTCCCCTGTGATTAACCCTGTCTCTCTGTCTGCCTTTCCCAGGTTCACTCACCTCCGTCCACCGTCGTGTCAGCTGGGCTCGCCTACCTGCCCTCTCGCCTCGGCTTCCTCCACGGCGTCCTCCCGGCTGCACGAGGCACCCCGGAATCCACCTCTCCCTCAACCCCTTTTTTCCTAATAAAACCTGTTTCAATCTGAGCGTTGCGTTTGGGTCTGCTCTGTCCAACACACAACAATACCATACGGATTTCATAATTCTAGCTTGTGATAGAGCTATATCATACCTCTAAAGTTAACATTCGTTTGGGTCATAGGCACTTAAATACATCCTCTGAAGTATCTTTGGCTAGTTAAAATAGTGCAGTTTGCTGATGGCGGTCCATGAGGAAACCATTAATTAGCTAGAATACAAGTCTACTAACATCAACCCTTTCACACAGATATACTGATCACAGTAAGTACCTTACCAAATTCTACAGAGCACCATGGAGCATGTATCTGAGTTATACAGTTAATGTAAAAAACAAGCACAGATTTGTGGTTTCTATACAGTACATTTTCTCAGAAGCAAAGTATCAACATCCACTAACTTGGACCTTGAGATAAACTTACCACACAAAAGGTGCTGACGATATAGTGATATCCACAACTGGGTTTGAGAATGATCTGCTGATTGTTAATGCAGTTAATTAAAAAGGTGTGAAATAAAGGGAATTAAAAAAAACATTCTCCCATGGAATTTTGATACAGAAGCCGGCACTGTGCCCCCTAATGCCGCAAGAAGAGTGACAAACATTTCCCTGGACGTCTGCTAAACTCTTGCAAAAAAAAAAAGCTGATTCATTTAATTAAAAAGCTATGTAAAGTAATTCAGAATGTATTTTCTTTAAATAGCCCGCAAAATAAAAACAAAGCCATTTCAAGCTAGGAGAGCAGTATATCTGAATGATCGTCATCATTCAGATATACTGTGGATTAAGGAACCAAAGTAAAGTTTAACAATAGATATCTGTAAAATAGATGTCTTTAATAAAAATACTTGGGCGTTGCCTTTGGTTGCTGTCCACAGATTTAGTTGTGTTTAGTGAAATTGAAATTTATCAATTGAAGTTAAAAAATGTGAAAAAAGTGAAGTATTTTTTCACTTCAATTGATAAATGTCAATAGCTTGAAATAAAGTTTTCTGAAATTAAATCTTGTTTTTCTGATGTATGGAGATTCATAGTCTTTTAAAATTCTTTTTACTTTATGCAGACAAAGTCTCCATATGCCTGCACATGCCTGGATTTGTTTGATCTGCAGAACAAAGTGGATTAGTGAACCTCCTGTTTCCTCAAGAATCTTCATCATCATCTCCAACAGCGTTGTGTGTGTTGTGTAGGAAGGCTTCCTTCTCTGTGGCCATGGGCTCTCCCTTTATCGTGCAGGCTGGCATGTAGGTGTCAGACCTGCTCAACACTGCCTCTGCACTGTTGCGAATACCATAGCCGAAGTAGATAAAGAAACCTACAAATGGCGAAGACATTAATTCCTTTTCAAGTACAGTACTGGAGATATTATTTGACAATGACGAAAAGTACCTAAGACCATCCAGATGGCAAAGCGCATCCAGGTTCCTTTGTCGAGCTGCATCATCAGATAGACATTGATGAACAAACTAGTTACTGGGACAAAGGGCAGCAGGGGAACCTGTGAAGAGAGAGTGTGTGTATTTATCTTTTCTAAGATCGTGATCAAGGAATTTTCAGTCCTTTAAACTACGTAACCTCCCTTTATGTTTTGGTATATGAAGATATAAAGCAAAAGAAGCATTTCTGTACGTACACTATATTGCCAAAAGTTTAGGGTCGCCTGCCTTTACATGCACATGAAGGTTAATGACAACCCATTCTTAATCCATAGGGGTTAATATGGAGTTGGTCCACCCTTTGCAGCTATAACAGCTTCAACTCTTCTGGGAAGGCTGTCTAATGGGAATTCTTGACCATTCTTCTAGAAGCACATTACAGAGGTCAGGCACAGATCTGATTTCATGTGGTCTACCACTTCGTGGCTGACTTCTGTTATTTCCAATCGCTTCCACTTTGTTATAATACCACTAACAGTTGATCATGGAATATTAAGTAGTGAGGAAATTTCACGAATGGACTTATTGCACAGGTGGCAACCTATCACGGTACCACGCTTGAATTCACTGAGCTCCTGAGATCGACCCATTCTTTCACAAATGTTTGTAGAAGCAGTCTGCATGCCTAGATGCTTGATTTTTATCCACCTGTGGCCATGAAAGTGATTGGAACACCTGAATTCAATGATTCGGAGGGGTGTCCTAAAACATTTGGCAATATAGTGTAGCTTGACCACATCACATATGTGTTTTGTATTTGCTTATTAAAACTCTCCATTGAAGCTACAGTAGATTGTGTTTGC